CATTTTCTTTATTGAACAACAAATTCTAGTTCAAAATGTTATAATGGACTACACTTGATAGAGTCACATTCCTGTTTAAACAAAGTAGATATCAATACTACAAGCTCTCTGTTACCTACAAAGGTATCTTGGTACATTATTAATTAAGTATTTCCAGTGGGATAACATCATTTGAATATATGTCATTGTGATATAGAGAGTCAACGTCAATATATACGCCTGGGGTATCTCCAGTTTTTGTGACTGTCTATGGTGATATAAAGCTGATTGCATATGAAGCATCCAGCAACCTGCACAATCATATGACAATGTACTTTGCAGGTTCCTCCAACTTTTCTTTAGACTTGAAAAGCTGGAGGGTATATATAAGCGGGATGTCTGTCCGTCTGTTACGCTTTGGGGTACCCATCTCTTATCTGAAACTCCTCTCATACCACTGAATGTAATTTGATGAAACTTTCACAAAATCTATATTACATAGTGCCATTGTGTACCTCCTATTTTACTTTTTGATCCAATAACACATATTTAGGGTTTCCCAGAGCAAGCCATGGACACTGCCCTTATATTCATATGGGAGGAGGGGGTATCATTTAGTGAGCTCATTGCTCACAGTACCTCTAGTTTAAACACACATGCCTTTATGGTATTAACCCTATCAGCAAGGTTTGGTTCGGAGGGAGGGTTTGGTATAGTAACTAAATACACACACACACTACATTCAGGAAAAAACAAAAGCATTGATCCTCTTTGTAAAAAATTTAATTTCAAAGTAACAAAATATCAATACATTGTACCACAGGACATGGTGATGAGCTAGACATTTATTTCATCATTAAAACACAGCACAGACACTTCCGAAAACTATGTACATTTTATATATTAGTTAAAAAAAGCAATGTACATTATATTTCTTAAATAACAAAAATATTGCATACACATTTGTCATAAAACTTCATGTACATCATGTATGGCAAACACACCATATGAATATTTTATTATTCTACTATTGTACAACTTCAGTGACTGACACCCAAAAATTATCAAGTTTAATAACTATTACTCCTCCATATAAGAAATTAAACAGAAGTATTCCTGTCACTTTTAAAATGAAAATCTTGTCTCTCTTAACTCCAGTTGATAACTAGCCTGCCGAGAATACATTAGAGAATATGTTGTGATAACTTTGTGTTAACATCAAGCTGTTATCCTTCTATAGTTTAAAACTATTATTTTTAAGATCAAATATTAATGGTCTGGTTGGAAAAGTGGCAACAAATCAAAGTAAAACACCATCTATCAACCTCAGTAAGTCTAAGGTTACACATAAAGTCATCAAAGCCAGATTAACAACCGACAAGTTGAATATATTTTAATAAGTACAAAGCACTGAATTTGTCTCTCCTTCAAAATTTAACTTGTGTTTCTCAAAAAAAAAATTCATCCTTTAAACTTTTATGTATTCATGTGTTTAGTAAAAAGTTACAATAATATGCATGAAAAGGGCAAACTTTTTTTGCAATCTTACAATTTTCTAACAGCATTTATGAATCCAATTTCGGTTGGAAAAAAATTTGCACTCAAAACAAAAATTTTTTTCACACAAATTTGCACACTGATATTAGTATGAAAAAAGATTTACATTCTATAGTACATGTATTGTTTATTCCTTTATTATTTCAAAAATTGAATTACCTGATCTCTTATAGCACATAAAATTCATGCAGTGCTTTCCTTCTAGTCAACATGTTTATATATTGGCATGCAACAACTGTAATGGGACTCATTCCAAATACTAGTATGAAATTAAAATACTCAATTTTATCATCTTTAAATTGATGCACAATGTAAAAAAAAGATATTGATTCTAATTCATAAACAATGCTACACGTATAAATACCCCTATCATTTCTGGCTGGATGTTTTGACTACATGCAGAATTTCTGACTCAGCATAACTCTTACATTATTTAGATAAGTTGACTACCATTTCACCCTCACAAATTTACTATACACTTATATCTCCATTTAGTTTTGATCAATTGAACAAAAACACTAGTATTTCTTATCAATTCTTAAAGCAAGTACTTTTAAGCAAAACAGAACAGACAACTTTCACATTTACAAGAGTAATTTCCCTTTACAGGGTCAATCTTGGGACTTATTTGGACAGTGTCTTACAAAAGGCATGCCTTCCTTGTTGACTGATACTGGGGCAATATAGAAATTTTATAAAAGTTAGGCTCCAAACATTTACAGGAATTAAAGCTGAATAAAACTATTGCTTATTTGGAGTTGTCTCACTGAAAATTACAATGTAACAATAGGATTCTGGGTTTGATGGCAAATACCGGTACTTTAATATAATAATTACAAATTGGAATTTTTTTTTCTATAAATGGAGACTATCGTTTTATTAATAAACTTCAACTGGAAAAAAGTTCCTTTCCAGGTCTGAAACTCACCAGGTGACAATATTCAAAGATGGCTTAACTTTACACTGATATCCAGACAGACAATTTATTTTACACGTTAGGCCTTAGACAGGATTTTTATGATACATGCATTATCACAAGTGTGAAGCCAATCTTCCTTGCAGAGTTGTCGTTACTCTCTCAGACAATGGGCTCTAGTCAAGATTTTTGGTAAAAGACAAGATATTCCAAGGATTATTTCACATTAAACTAATTGTTCTAGATCTATACTTAGTGAATATTTACTTTAGTGCAGGAATTTAATTAAGATGACCTGAAAAAAGTTGCACCCTATTTATTGTGATTTACACCGACAGTATGATATAAGGAAGCCATTGACGGAATTTACAAGCTAGCAGCAGAGAGTGGGGTGTCCAAGCATGGATGAAATTTTTGTTACAAATCCTGTTTCAAAAGTGAAATAAATTCCATATTTAAGTAGAAAACATTGAATTTTTTGTTTATCATATATTAGGCTGTCTAAGTCATTTCTTTGACATTTCATGTTATAGGCTTGAGTAGATTTTGGAGAAACTGATACAACTTGTACTTTGAATGAAGTATTTTTAAGTAATTTATATATATCAATTTTTATTTAAGCATTGAATTCATATTTTGGGATGTCTTCGGTCCTATAACACACCTGGCCATGCCGACAAATTGAATACCGCGCTAATGTGCGGTATGATAATTTGTCGGCACGGCCAGGTGTGTTATTGGACCGAAGACATCCCAAATATGAATTCAATGCTTATATTTACATTCTCTTATTTTTCCTCTTCATAATTGTTTATTTTGGTAATTTTTAATGTGTATTTAGCGCCCTTCAGAACTGGTGTGCTTTATAGATGTAAGAGTCGTTTTTGACATTTGTGATGTTGCAAAGTTAAGTAACGCAAACGAACATTGCGAGGGAAAAAAGTGACAAATTAATTTGAAACGCACATTTGTTGTATTTTTACTTTAATTTAACAGGGTTAATTTTTTTAATTAAATTGTGTCAAAACAATGCACATTTTGGTTTTCCTAGAGTATTTAATAAAATACATATAGTCCCTACTGTGTATTCAAACGCGCGCTGAAAAGGTTTCGCGTGTGTTATAGAGATTTGAACGTCGTGGATTTCTAATGGATTTCATAATAAAATTACACTGAATGTAAATATACCAATATGAAGTACTTGGAATTTTTAGCTATTCTTTTGTTTTAACGATATTAATTATTTAAAATATAATAACAGCATTTTGATCCAAGTTTGCAAAAATAAGTTAATGACTGAATGTTTAGAAAAAATTACCAATATTAAAAACATTTTCTTTACAACACTTTTTTTGGACTGGAAAAATAATTGAGATTTTTTTCTCTCACTCATACAAATAAACAGTGAAAATATTAATTTCACTTTTTTAAATGAATAAGGTACAGTATTTCATTGTTGAACATTTCACTAAGTGAGATAAAAAGTGAAAATATTAATTTCACTTTTATTAAATGAATAAATTACAGTATTTCACTGTTGAACATTTAACAAGGTCAGATATAAGTGAAAATATCAATTTCACTTTCATTAAATGTCAGAATAAATTACAGTATTTCACTGTTGAACATTTAACAAGGTCAGATATAAAGTGAAAATATTTTCACTTTTATTAAATGAATAAATTACAGTATTTCACTGCTGAACATTTAACAAGGTCAGATATCAAGTGAAAATATTAATTTCACTTTTATCAAATGAATAAATTACAGTATTTCACTGTTGAACATTTAACAAGGTGAGATATAAAGTGAAAAAATTAATTTCACTTTTATTAAATGAATAAAATGCAGTATTTCCCTGTTGAACATTTAACAAGGTGAGATATAAAATGAAAAAAAATTAATTTCAGTTTTATTAAATGAATTAATAAAATGCAGTATTTCACTGTTGAACATTTAACAAGGTGAGAAAAATGACTGTTAATACCCAAAAAGGGAAATCTCTTAAGAATATGAAAGTTGTCTATTAAGTTTCATAAAAAATCAGGTTAAATATGATAGTTCTAGCACCAAAAAGTCTGAACTTGTTTACTTTGCATAAATTATATGAGGCTTTTCAACTTGTTGTACTATAAGTTACTTTCTCTAAATAAAACAAGTTATCTTTTCCTCATGTCTAATTCTCCTAATTGTTTCTTCATGCTTATCAGGGGATTTCTTTACAGCCGGCCAAATATTTCTTCCATTCCATCAGAAGTTAATACACTAGCTTCGATCCATTGTTAAGTCTACTTGAACTCGTGTTGAGATAGTGAGACTGCTAGCTCTCTCCCTGGTAATGCTTTATCAAATCCATCTTTTCCATTTAACCAATAGGTTTTCATTATTCCTTTTCCCTGTAATGAATTTGAATTTAACTTTACTATTGGATTTAAGATATGAAATTGTCCACATAAACAATTCTTGAGAAAAAACTGACAATCTATTTCTGCTTGCAGAGGATATTAGTCCTACCTTGACTTCTCTCTCTCCTCTACACTCCAGATGATACCCTCCCAACTCTTCTAAAATGGTGGCTGTACTCTGACTCATGTGGGCTCTCAGAGCTGTCAAACAACGAAAATATCACTTATATACAAGCTTCACAATTCTGTCTCACTCCGCAAAGGTATATAAACCAAGATGTAAAATTACTATTGGACAACACTACTCAATATTTGAATATACATTTATCTAGAATTCATTATTTAACATGAGGCAGAAGAGGATTGACAGTTTCATGAGTTTCATGGCTTCATCTAGGACTAAATCCCTGAATAAAGTGACACAAATTTCAGTAGTGGGTGTGTGTGTGTGGGGGGGGGGGGGATCAAAGGTATTTCTTATCCACAAATTTACCTCTAAAATATAACTGAAATATTTTGAAAGTTTTTTGTGATAAGACATCTTTTAACAATATTACATCTCAACAAATGTGTAAATCTTAAACCTTACCAAATTCATTAAATAAAGAGATAGTCTGTAATTCACACACTCACCGACTGAGCTGGATTCCATTCTTGATGCTGTGTTAACTGTGTCCCCAAACAGACAATACCGCGGCATCTTAAGTCCGACCACTCCAGCAACACATGGGCCTGTAATTATAAAGAAATCACCACACTTATACAAGAGGTCACCACTCTTATACAAGGATCACCACACTTATACAACAGGTTTTGATACCTTAAATATGCACTTTTGATTTTATTTTCCTAATTATCTCCCCTTGATGTTTTATCATGTTGGTTCACATCCCCAATTTTAATATAAACAAGAGCCCTTTGGCCAAGGATGCTCTCTGACAAATTTGACAAAAATTGGTCAGGGGCTTCTTGAGTTATGGCACATATTCTAAACAAGAGGCCCATGGGCCTTATAGGTCACCTGAGTATCATGCAACAACTTTCCAACAATTGAGTTTGATTCATGTTTTAATCTAGAAGCCATGAAATTAACAATTTTGAAAGAGGCACCAATATTGCTTATCATAATTATGCACTCAGCATACTTACTTTGGTTAGTAATACCCAGAGGTACATGAAGATCACAGTAACAAAGAGAAAATGCATTTCCACTTTATCATTATCAGTTGTTCATCCCATCCCACAGGAACCACTGACCCTGGGGCCATATCTTTCAAAATGTTGGAAATTTTATAAATTCTATTTCATTATGTTGTTAATACCAAAGTGCAGATTTCAAAGCATTAAATCATTTTCAGACCCCCCCCAGCCAAGTACCTCTGTCCCAGGGGCCAGGAAATTAAGCATTTTTGGAAGAAGCAGCGTTCTTCGTCATAAATATATACTAAGATCATTGCCATAATACCCAGGATCAAAGGAAAAGATTTTCAAAAAATTTATGCATTTTCACTATATAAACATTAGAGCCACACCCTAACACAAGAATCCCTGACCCAGGGGCCCTGAAATTCACAAATCTCAAAGAGGCATCCTTCCTCCTCATAACTATGTATATAGTTCATTGGTTTAATACCCAGGTGCAGAAAAGAAGATTTTTAAAGAGTTTATGCATTTTCATTATATAAACAATAGAGCCCCGCCCTAACACCAGAACCGCTGACCCTGGGGCCATAAAATTCACAATTGTGGAAGAGTCACTCTTACTCATCATAACTATGTACTTAGTTAGTTTATTTAATACCCAGGAGCAGAGAAGAAGATTTTCAAAGAAATAATGCATTTTCACTATATAATCTATATAGCCCCGCCCTGCCACTAGAACCCCTGACCCTGGGGCCATTAGATTCACAATTTTGGAAGAGGCAGCCTTATTCAACATAACTATGCACTTGGTTAGTTTATTTAATATCCACAAACAGAAAAGAACATCAAAGAATTATTGCAATTTCACTACAATAATCTATATGGCCCCGCCCTAGCACTAGAACCCCTGACCCTTGGGTCATTAAATTCAAAATTTTGGAAGAGGCAGTCATTTTCAACTCAAGTATGCAATTGGTTAGTTTATTTAATGCCCAGGAGCAGAAAAGAAGAATTTCAAAGATATAATGCATTTTCACTATATAACCTATTTAGCCCTGCCCTAGCACTAGAACCCCTGACCCTGGGGCCATGAATTTCACAATTTTGGTATAAGACTTAATGCTGATTACAATCATACCAACAGTTTGACTGCTTGATGTCCAGGAGTAAAGAAGAAGATTTTTAAAGATTGCACTAATTTTAGTGGTTTTTGCCCCACCCCCCCAGGCCCCAGGGGGGCGGGGACCATGAAATTCACAATTTTTGTTCCCCTTCACCTATAGATGCTATATGCCAAATTTGGTTGAAATTGATTGAGCGGTTGCAGAGAAAAAGTTGAAAATGTTTTAATGTTAACGCATGACGACGGACGAAAACAGATAGCAGTAGATCACCTGAGTTTACTCAGGTGACCTAAAAAGTTTACATAAACCACACAAATGTTAATTGCTATAGTTCTTTGAACTTGTTTACTGTTCTAGTAATAACTCTAAAATTACCATATGCCCTTTACTTGAACAAACTAAGGTGTCCTTTTCCAAGATGAAAACAATTCAGACAGTGAGACAAAATAATTATAAAAAACCCCACTGGACTGGTCTTACCTGAATGCATTCCACATCGTAGCTGCAGGAACTTCTCTGGCATGTGCCTGATCTTAAAAGTCAGTACAGCAGAGAGTAATTCTAGGGACATTGTAGCAATCTCTCCAGCATGAAGATTACCATTTCTGATTGGTAAACCACTGACAACCATATCTATAAAAGTCCATCAAACAAATCAACAATCATTTAAAAAACTTCTCACAACTGGCAGTCTCTACTTAAGGTTTCTGAGAAAGAAATAATCAATTATAAAACAGAATATATCTTCAATTTGTAAAGAAAATTCTTTGTGGGAAACTTACATGCATCACCAATGGTCTCTACTTTGTACACATCATAGTGGTCCAAAATAGCATCAAAACAAGTATAGAGATCATTGAGAAGTGTGACGACCTGGAACGGCGTACTGTCACGAGCGATGGCTGTAAAGCCTACCAAGTCACTGTAAGACAAAAAACAAACTATAGGAGCTTCTGAGTCAATAACAGACCGAAAGGTCTAAAATAACTAATAGACAAAAACAAACAATCAGAGGTTCCATGACAAATAACAGACCGAAAGGTCTAAAATAACTAATAGACAAAAACAAACAATCAGAGGTTCCATGACAAATAACAGACCGAAAGGTCTAAAATTACTAATAGACAAAAACAAACAATAGGAGGTTCCATGACAAATAACAGACCCAAAGGTCTAAAATCACTAATAGACAAAAACAAACAATAGGAGGTTTCATGACAAATAACAGACCCAAAGGCCTAAAATCACTAATATAACTAGAACTGTCCAAACGGGACAAAACACCCCCCGCTGGGTTTTTCAGAAGTGCTAAATCATATATATTTTATGGATCTAAGAGAAGAGAGAAATGCTAAAACATTTTTAGTGCAAATGTAATTGCAGCCTTAAAACCAGAAGTCTCTGTCGAGACTGAAGCTCTACTGGTTTGTACTTATAGCAAAGGAAGAGAAAAGTTCTTAAGCAGTTGGGAATTGAAACTTTACCACAGCAATAAAAAGAATAATGATCCTTGATTAAGTCTCTTTATGTTCTTAGTATAGTCTACTTGTATGCCACATTATATTATAATCAGACTTAAACTGCAGGATGAGTAGCATTTTGAGAGTTTTTAACAGAAATTTCTATTTTTAGTTACCATCGCAACACCATTCATTGAAATCAAAAACCGATAAACAGAATTATGTATCTTAGTGTAGTCTACTTGTTTGCAAAGTTATATTGAAATCAGACCAAAACTGTAGGAGGAGTAGCATTTTGAAAGAATTTTACAGAAATTTCTATTTTTAGTAACAACGTTCATCGAAATCAAAAACTGATACAAAGAATTATGTATCTTAGTGTAGTCTACTTGTATGCCAAGTTATATTGAAATCAGACCAAAGGCATTTTGAAAGAATTTCACAGAAATTTCTATTTTTAGTAACAACGGCAACACCGTTAATCGATATTAAAAACCGATACACAGAATTATGTATCTTAGTGTAGTCTACTTGTGCGCCAAGTTATATTGAAATCAGACCAAAACTGTAGGAGGAGTAGCATTTTGAAAGAATTTTACAGAAATTTCTATTTTTAGTAACCACGGCAACACCCTTCATCGAAATCAAAAACCGATGCACAGAATTATGTATCTTAGTGTAGTCTACTTATGTGCCATGTTATATTGAAATCAGACCAAAACTGTAGGAGAAGTAGCATTTTGAAAGAATTTCACATAAATTTCTATTTTTAGTAACCACGGCAACACCCTTCATCGAAATCAAAAACCGATACACAGAATTATGTATCTTAGTGTAGTCTACTTGTGTGCCAAATTATATTGAAATCAGATCAAAACTGTAGGAGGAGTAGCATTTTGAAAGATTGTTTACACACAGACAGACAGACGGACAGACAGACCGACGGACGACGGACGCATTACTATCGCATAAGCTCTTCTGGTCTCTGACCAGTAGAGCTAAAAATAGACTTAATATACGGACCAGTCACGAATTATGGACTTTTTCTGTCAGTGACCTTGAACTTGCATAAATGACCTTGGTTCAAAGTCATGACACAACCTCAGGTCATAAGCAATGTTTGTGTGAAGTAGTAGATTCAAGTTTTTCCATAATAAAGAAAGATATGGACCGGACACAAATTATAAAATTTTTCTTCCAGTGACCTTGAACTTCCCCAATTGACCTTGACCCAAGAACACGATACATCCTTAGGTGTGGAGGAATCTTTGTGTGAAATGAGAACCTACCAAGTTTATGCATAAGAAAGATATGGACCGGACAAAAATTATGAAATTTTTCTTCCAGTGACCTTGAACTTTCCCAAATGACCTTGGGTCAAGGTCATGACACACCCTTGAGTCCTGGGCAATCTTTGTGTAAAATGAGAACCTACCAAGTTTATCTATAAAAGATATGTATTAAACATGATTTATGAAAATTTTCTTCCAGTGACCTTGAACTTTCTCAAATGACCTTGGGTCAAGGTCATGACACACCCTTGGGTCATGGGCAATCTTTGTGTGAAATGAGAACCTACCAAGTATATCCATAAGAAAGATATGGACCAGACATGAATTATGAAATTTTTCTTCCAGTGACCTTGAACTTCCCTGAATGACCTTGGGTCAAGGTCATGACACACCCTTAGGTCATGAGCAATCATAGTGTGGAGTAGTAGATTCTAATGTCCCTCTGTAAGAAAGATATGGACCGGACACGATTGCACAGACAGACGGACAGACGGACGGACGGACAGACGGACAAGGTGATTCCTATATACCCCCCCAAACTTCGTTTGCGGGGGGTATAACAATAGGAGGTTTCATGACAAATAACAGACCCAAAGGTCTAAAATCACATTTGATAATTGTTAGCCTCTGATCATATACTAAATACTGAAATAAAAATCTATTAAAATGTAAAAGTTTATACAAGAAATAATTTCAGGTCAATTTGATGTGACCACGAGACCAAGGCCTTTGCCAAGCCATAATGATCTGAACAATTTTTAATCTACCACATATCCACATCCTACAGGATAAGTTTGATGATTAATCTGTCATGTGGTTCTTGAGAAGAAGATATTGTGGCAACCATACCTTTTTTTTCATAGTTATCTCAACTTGTTTAAAAGCAACATGGCTATTGTAAGTAAAAATGAAAGCCCTCTTGTCTAGGATTCTCTGTGACAAATTTGAAAAATATTGGCCTAGAGTAACTGTAAATGCAGAACTGAAGAGATTTCCTTTCAGTTTCCATCTTATTTCCTTCTGAGTGATAAGAGTAAGTTTACCTGAAGTATATGGTAACACATTCAAAAGCCTCGGGCTCCACCGTTTTGCCATGCTTGAGATCCTCAGCCACTTTCTTGGGTAACATTTGACTGATTAATTCCTCTGTCCGGGCCTTCTCTGCCACTAATTCTCTTGTCCTCTCTGCCACAATGGCTTCTAAATTACTGGAGTACTTCTCCAGCTGCAAGAATAAAAGAGCTCCATATCATTAAAGATTGTCTATCACAACTTACCATGTTCACCAGATTGTCTATCACAACTTACCATGTTGACAAGATTGTCTATCACAACTTACCATGTTGACCAGATTGTCTATCACAACTTACCATGTTGACAAGATTGTCTATCACAACTTACCATGTTGACAAGATTGTCTATCACAACTTACCATGTTGACAAGATTGTCTATCACAACTTACTATGTTGACAAGATTGTCTATCACAACTTACCATGTTGACAAGATTGCCTATCACAACTTACCATGTTGACAAGATTGTCTATCAAAACTTACCATGTTGACCAGATTGTCTATCACAACTTACCATGTTGACAAGATTGTCTATCACAACTTACCATGTTGACCAGATTGTCTATCACAACTTACCATGTTGACAAGATTGTCTATCAACTCCCCCTTGACAGGGTAAATTTCATTCAGTCTATCTAGAGTTTGTCTAAATGTTGGTCTAATATCAGGTCTATTGTTCCAGCATTGTGCAAACAACTACAAAAAAGGAAAAAAAGAAAAAATTTACTTGTGAAAATCTAGTATCATTTTAAGGTTAAAAAAATGCCTGTACATTTTTATATTAAAGAATATATCTTATAAAAATCTTGCTGACCCTTCTCAAGCCTGATCTGGCGGCATATTCCTCTGGGAGATAACAGTCTTCTACGTCAGGTCGGAAATGTTTGGTCGTATCTCCTCCATTCTTGTACCAGGTCTACAATAGTAACAATATCAACTGCTTTAGCCCCTACTAAACAGTCCCTATATAAGTTGTTACTTTCAGAAAGTCCAACAGTTTGACTGTTTTCCACAACTGTTGGTCCAGGAACTGTTAAACAGACTTCTAAACAAGAGGCCCATGGGCCACATCGCTCACCTGAGCACTAAGGGTAGGAAAAAGTAGAAGATGGCTTTTTATTGTAAAGTTTAAATCCAAAAGAAGTCCCATGACCAATCATGGATTTGCTATTTTTTAGAAAATGATTTTTAAAGAATTTTCCTATATATTTCTATGTAAAACTTTGGTCGGCCATTTTGGCCCCTTCCTACCCCCGGGGGGTCATGATTTGAACAAACTTGAATCTACACTACCTGAGCATGCTTCCATACAAATATGATGAATTATGGCTTTGTCATTCTTGAGAAGATTTTTAAAGAATTTTCCTATATATTTCTATGTAAACCTTGGTCGGCTATTTTGGCCCCGCCCTACCCCCGGGGGGGGGGGGGGGGGGGGGTCATGAGTTGAACAAACTTGAATCTACACTACCTGAGCATGCTTCCATATAAATATGATGAATTATGGCTTTGTCATTCTTGAGAAGAAGATTTTTAAAGATTTTACCCATATATTTCTATGTAAAACTTGATCGGCCATTTTGGCCCCGCCCTACCCCGGGGGGTCATGATTTGAACAAACTTGAAACTACATTACCTGAACATGCTTCCATAAAAATATGATGAATTATGCCTTTGTCATTCCTGAGAAGAAGATTTTTAAAGAATTTTCCTGTATATTTCTATGTAAAACTTTGGTCTGCCCTTCATTTGAACGAACTTGAATCCCCTTCACCCAAGGATACTTTGTGGCAAGTTTGGTTGAAATTGGCCCAGGGGTTCTTGAGAAGAAGTCGAAAATGTGAAAAGTTTACAGACAGACGGACGCCGGACAAAATGTGATCAGAAAAGCTCACTTGAGCTTTCAGCTCAGGTGAGCTAAAAAGACTGTTGCCCGTTTGACGTCAAATGGTGCTAAACTGAGTTATTTTTTCATTCGGGAAAGGAAATTACAATTCAACAAAACAGTTGTTGACAGGAGTCTCAGGAAACAGTCGATCTGTTGGATTGGAGTGCAAACTGTCTGCTGCCCGCAGCCTACAGCTTTGGGCAACACTTGCAATCCGGTCCAATAGATTGACTTTGTAAAATTCAGTTAAAAATCTTATATCTTAAAAATCTTTGTGGGCGATGCTTGTGGACAATTTTATCTGAAGAAAAATTTCATTGATTGATTGTTGTTTAACATCCCTCTAGAGAATTTTTCACTTATATGCAGATGCCGCCACCACTCGCAGGTGGAGAGCTACAAATCTGGCCTATACTCGGCACTCAGGGCCATTAAGCAGTGAGGGGTCTTTTTCGTGCCAGCACCTACTGCGACACGGGATGTTGGTTTATACGGTCTCATCCGAAGGACCGTCTCCACGTCCCACAGTGGGATTCGAACCTGCGATGTAATGATCAAGAAAATTCCATTGAAAATTGGTGTCTTCTGCAACTTTTTAAGAAAATACAGGAAAATGCACATTTTTACGACATCGCAATTAACATTTAGTTATGGATGTGAGAAAAATGATTTGCATGATTTTTCTGCATAGAATTTCAATGATTCAGAAAGCACGACTTTTCATTTTTTACATCTGTTTCATATTTAAGCAAATCACAGGGCAATATTTGTATTGAAACTGTACCTTGTTCTTATAAGGAATGGAGCTTATTTTACCCTATATTATACAATATAACATAACTTGGAGCAGTTTACGCTTTTTTATAAACCACTTCATAGTTTATAAAGCATAAACTGCCTCATTTTATGTTATATCATATAACATGGGTTAAACTAAGCTTCATTCCTTAAATAACACAACAATGTCTACTGCTTTAACAGTTACATTTATATATTTTAAAGCAAGTAAAACCATTAAGTGTGTGATAAGACTTTGACTTATACCTTTTTAGCTGTGGCAGGACCCTGACTGATAGGACTTTGACTTATACCTTTTTAGCTGTGGCAGCACCACGACTGATAAGACTTTGACTTATACCTTTTTAGCTGTGGCAGCCTCCTGACTGATAAGACTTTGACTTTTACCTTTTTAGCTGTGGCAGCCTCCTGACTGATAAGACTTTGACTTTTACCTTTTTAGCTGTGGCAGCACCCTGACTGATAAGACTTTGACTTATACCTTTTTAGCTGTGGCAGCCTCCTGAGATTCCTTATCTAGAACCAGCTGGAGGATCTGATCAGGGTCTAGGTAGCCCAGTTCCTTTGTGTACGGTTCTTCTCGTGTGCACATTTCTGCCATGATTATGGCAAAACTGTAAAATCCAAAATAGACATTTGTATCTGCTGGTAAACAACTTAGAATATACAATAGCCAAAAAAATCAAGCATATATCCCTTCATTGAACAGTAATGTAGGAGAAGCTTGCTTGTTTTTCATTAGACAAGTAAATGACTTAAACATTGAAGTTCGAATCTGTACAAACATGTTTATACTCCAATTATTTCGAGTGTTCTTTAAACAAACTTTACAGTTCCTGGTTTTTTTTTTTTAACTTTTCCTTAAGCTGTATAAGCAGTATAGTATTATAAAGGTTTTACTAACGAGTACACATCTCCTGCCTTGGTTCCACATCTCACTTGATCCAGCGTCTTACAGCCAGCCAACAACTCTGGTGCCGTCCAGAACAAGTTACTGCAAAATATCACACAATCCTCAATACCTAATGCTACGTTTACACTATGTTCCCGGCAGCCACGGCAGCCCCGTTTGCCCAAAACGTAGTGCGCCGTGAGATTTTGGTTATTTTCCCCTCTATATCCAAGTCTTGACAAGTTCTTTTGCGGTCTTCTACGGTCTTCTACGGAATCCGTGATGGGCCGTAGGAAGAAGTTGCCGTGGAGTGCCGGAGGCTCCACGGCGCACTACGGTTCTGCCACGTATGCCAGCACGTTCCCCCCAGACCTCTTACGTTCTGATAGGCCCCTTCTCGTTTCTCGCGTTCTTATGAAGTTCTTATACGTTTCTCACGTTCTGTCAAGTCTTTCTACGTATGAAACATGGACGCCAGGAAACTATGGATCACGTTTGTACCAGAGAAGGTCTCCTAACCAGAAACAATCATTGTATCATGACCCTTCGAAGATAAAACATCATGAATTCCCAAGACGAAGATTTTATTTTCGCGTGTTTGCTGGGTGCATACCTAAAATCACTTCGTCAAAATTTTGGAAGACCGGCTACTTTCCTACCTCTTTTCTTCGGTGGCATAGCTTGAGTTGTTAACTTCTCAGTTGTTCAGACTCGAATGAAACTTCTCTGCAGTGCCCGGCTTTTATATGCTTCCTCTCAGACCGCGTGCGCCGTGTCAGACCGCAGTAGAACGCAACGCACAGGGACCATAAAGCGTAACATGCCGGGACGAACCGCGATTGAACGCGAGGAAACGGCTACCATACACCCTAGTTTGCCGTGAGGACCGTGATGAAACGTGGCAGAACGTGATAAAACGGACAACAACCGTGAACTAGCCGTGTCAGAACGCGGACTAAACTCAGCAAAACGTCTCAAAACGTGAATGGACCGTGAGATGAATGGAAATATACATTCTCCCGTCCCACTGCGGACTGCCTCCAAGTTCTGTTACGATCTATTACGTGTTGTCGCGTTTTGTTGCGTTTATTCCGTTTTACTACGACCTACTAAGTTTCACATCTGCAACGTGGCCGCCGTGGCAAATTTTTTGACAGTTTAAAAATCTGGCACGGCATCCACGGCAATCGCGATGAGTTACGTTTGCCCATCCCGTTGCCCCAAGTTTTCTCACGCCCATCCCGTTTTTTCCACGGTGGCCTGAAACGTGATTGCCGTGGCTGCCGGGAACATAGTGTAAACGTAGCATAACTACAGAGACTTATTTTCCGTATTTGGCCGAGTATAATACGCATTGATGTAAAATACGCACCCCCCTTTTTGAGTCTGAAACTGGGGAAAAAAACGCAGTTCGGATGTATTATACGCAACAGAAAAATTTACCAAGCGATGTTCTGAACTTTGAAAATCGCGGTAATTTGTTACGAAAATCGGCGCGAGGATTAAGTGTCAAAAATTTACTGAACACACTTTTTTTTAAAATACACACTTTATAACTTCTCTTAATCCTGACATTCCATATCGCGGCAATCTGGAGAAAATTATTTATTCATTTATTTCAACAAAGTACAAGATAATATTGCGTAAAAGTATTAACAGATTTTTTTAAAGAATAGTTACGGTGATTTTGAAATAATGCGTCGCCATATTCTTAGATGAAATAATTTTATTTCAACAAAGCAAGAGATATTGTCGAAAGTTTTATCAGTTGTCATATTTAATTTTGGTTCTAGATAATCATGCTGAAAATTATCTGACAATATTTTAACAGGAAACGAAATTGAAACATCAAAGTATTTATTTCTTTAAGAAGACTACGATTTTCCTCTTCTAAATCTTCGCGGATATCTTATTTTCTAAATGATACCACTTTTATTAAAAGTTTTAGCATACTTCATATTTCATTTGTCAACTCTCAATCAGTTAAACAAGAGGCTGATAAGTATAAGATAAGGTAAAATTACATTTAACAAGTGTTTAATTGTTTAAAGTGCCGTAATCAACACATGCTCACACATACAAAAGGTCATAAACCGACCCCCCTTTTTAACAAAGAAAATAATCAAAGCAATTAACATGGCAGTAAATAATCAGTGCTGTAACTGTAAAAACATTGCTTTGGAGTCGGTAGACATTTAATTGCCCCGAGGGGTGTTGATAGGTAATTATCATTTGACAAGCGCACGTGTGTCACAACATTGGCTTCCTTTCATTGGGACGTATGGAGGGGTGTTTAATATTGTTGCAGATTATCAATGAGTTATTTTAAACCTAAAATTAATATTTATTTTATTGTATTTCATTAAAAAATTATTTATTACTTTGTCTGGCAGATAAGGTGCATGTGCACTATCATTACGGAAACACGTGACATAAGCATGAGTTAACGTCTAAAAATAACATCGGTAATGGCGCCTCCTCGGAGACAATCAACATGCAGCTCAAATTACTTTTAACTTACTTTTTCATGTTATTTTGGTATCAAAAGATTGTGAAAGTGACATTTTTAAGAAGCATACCTTCCAACAATAACTTTCCGAAGTTTAAAATATGGCAATAAACAAAAGAAATTGCATATGTCTCTAGGTAATACTACGGTATGTACGTATGATAGCCGTGTTTCACCTGAAAGAAAAACTTGTCAAAATCCCATTGTGGTGTAAAATATGCATCCCTTTCTCACAGTAATTTATTTTAGGAAAAAAGTGCGTATTGTATTCCCCGAAATACGGTAAATATAATGAAATTTACATCCTTTATAATGAATTTCAATTTTCAAAGATCTCAAAATTTGATGAATTGAACTGACCTTATTTCATTAAGTATTTGAATATAAGATTCAATACATAAATTAAATCTTAGTTATTCAAGATATTTTTTGTAATAATCAATAATTGCTTTCTAGCATATTTGATAATAATACTTGAACAAAAACATGCATATTGCAAATTCTCTATATATAGTTATAGGAATTTATTATATGGATAGTGAATTAAATTCAAAGGTCCCCAGGACTTCGCTCTAACTGAGTTTTACTGTACATAGAAATTGAGATTTTGTAGTTATATAGGTATGGTGTGAAAATTGTTTTAAGAGACATGTACCCATCGCTTTTTTCCCTTTACCTTTCTTCCAGCTCTTTGTGCATCATCTGGTGAATACCCTGAATTTTCTCGCCGCAGAGCTCGTAGAAATTCACTTTTCTTGTCGCCGAGATTTCTTGGCTGTGTTACAAGGCGGGTATTCAGAATCTCCATAGGAGGTGTTGGAGACTGCTGTGATCCCTATAGATCAAAATAACCCACATCAGAAAAGTCATGGAATCTCATCAAAAGTACAATGTTAAAGAGCACCTATATGTAGATGTCATAATTTTATAATATTTTAATAACATTATAAATGTATGTTTACATCAGCTACATGTATGTTGAAAATCCAGGATTTGGCGAGATGCTTCAATATTCAGGCAGTATTTTATTTTATACATAGCTAATAAAAGGTATGTCAGCAGTAAAGTAAGACATTATTAAATATTTATTTTGAAACTTTTATCTAATTTTTTTTTAGATAGACTACTTGAGGGTTTTATTATGAGAAAAAAAAAATGCTATTATGATTAGTGTTGTAGTACATACCTCTTTACTCGGGGAAATTCCAGGGGGAGTGAGTGGTTTGCTGCTACTTGAAAATCCCCCATTAAAGCGGACATTCTCCTTTGGTTTTCTATTCACGGAACCCTGGAGCTATCAATATTAATCATTAATGTTTTTACATGTTTTTAAATCTCAGCATTTTTTAAACCCAAATTCTTTAATGAATGATGTATGCAGTACACATTATTTTAACCATTTGATTAGGGATGTGCGATTTTATCGGTATACCGATATATCGCGATTTTTTGTTGCGTGATATGTATCGTGATACGGAGACCTGAATACCGGTCTTTAGGTACATATTATAAAGTCCAGAAAATTATTTATTTATTTGTTCAATCTTTCAAATTACAATTACAGAAAGTATAAAAAATGTTGTTAAAAGTGAAAAGAACGGCATCTTACCATCCAAACATAATTGATTTTATATACATAAAAATTTCAAGAGAGTAAACTTTTGTTTTTCTAGCATATTTTTAGCAAAATAATGACTTTTTTGTAAAATCATTGTAAAATCTGCTTTTAAAAATATCATATTATCGTGATATTGTGGGGAAAAAATCGTGATATATCGCGATACGAAATTTTTGGCGATACCCATCCCTACATTTGATATACATTTGAGTACATAAGTTGTCCCAAACAAAGCAATTTGATTCTTCGAAAGTAGATACGAGACATGATAAGACAGTTATCTCACCTTATTTGGCACTAATGATTTATAAATGTTAGATGATGGTCCACGCTCTCCAAATTTAGAAGCACTGTTTTTCCCATGAGGAGGATGTTCTATAAATAGACATCATAAAAATTTCAATGCTTGATTAACTGATATTTCAAACACAACAAGTGGCCCATGGGCCACATCGCTCACCTGAGAAGTGTTGACCATTCTGTTCTTTACCAGATTTCCCCCTTGTTATACATAATGCATCCCCTTTACCCCACTTCATAATTTAGACATTTTGAAATCTACAATAACCCATTAATCCTTCCATAGGCACATATGTTTCAGCTTTTTTGGCCCAGTGGTTCCTGAGAAGAAGATTTTAAAGATTTTTCCTATATATTTAAAAACTTTGAAATCCCTATAATGGCCCCGCCCTTCCCCTGGGGGTCATGATTCCTACAATTTAGAATTTACACTGCCCCAGAATGCTTCCACATAAGCTTCACTTTTTCTGGCCCTGTGGTTCTTGAGAAGAAGATTTTCAAAGATTTTTCCTATATATTTCTATCTAAAACTTTGATTCCCTATAATGGCCCCGCCCTTAGCCAAACTGGGGGTCATAATTCCTACAATTTAGAATGTGTACACTACCCAGGATTGTCCACATAATTTCAGCTATATATAATCAAGTGGTTCTTGAGACATATTTTCAAAGATTTTTCCTATATATTTCTATCTAAAACTTTGATTCCCCATTGTGGCCCCGCCCTTCCCCACAACATCATGATTAAACAATTTAAAATCTACTTAACCAGGATGCTTCCAATAATTTCAGCTTTTCTGGCCCATGGTTCTTGAGAAGAAAGTTTCAAAGATTTTTCCTATATATTTCTATCTAAAACTTTGATTCCCCATTGTGGCCCTGTTAGCCCAACACGTAATTATTTTAGAATCTACATTATACCAACTGCTTGTTAAATAAGATTAGCTTTTCTGGCAGTGGTTCTTGAGAAGAAATCAAATAAAGATGTTTATATATTTCTATCTAAAACTTTTAGGATTCCCCATTGTGGCCTCGCCCTTCCTCCAGGGGTCATGATGTGACAGTTCTTTATACCAGGATGCTTCCACATTTAAGTTTCAGCTTTTTGGCCCAGTGGTTTTGAGAAAGATTTTCAAAATTTTTCCTATATATTTCTATATAAAACTTTGATTCCCCAAATTGTTTCCCCGCCCTCCCCCATCATGAATTGAACAATTTAGAATCTACACTACCCCAAATGCTTCCAATAAGATTCAGCTTTACTGTTTGTGGTTATTGAGAAACCTGAAGATTTTTTAATGATTCCAACCCTATTTTTGCCTTGCTTGATACATCTCCCCTTCACAGGGGATATGTCCATCATTTTAACAATTTATGTTCCTTTCACCCAACAATGCTTTTGTACCAAGGTTTGGTCAAAATTGGCCCAAATGGTTCTTGAGAAGAAGTAGAAAATGTGAAAAGTTTACAGAAGGACAGACAGACGGACAGACAGACGGACAGACAGACTGGAAATTGACAGACGGACAGACAGACCGGACAGGAGACAGACGGAAGACGGACAAAATTTGTGATTAGAAATTTTAATACCCATTTGAGCCTTATTTTCAGGTGAGCTAAATAATAAACTGAATGATCTGGTTAAGCAGGTATAACATTGTAATTCTGTTTACCCCAGACACTCCCACCATTTGCTGTCTTGCTGGTTTTCTCGCCACTTTCATCCCCATTGAGTGAGGGCTAAAATGAAGCAAAGAAATAAAACATTAATCATTAATACACATCATTTAGAGATTTGATTTGTTACATTACTTGGAAATCCTGCTAAATTGATTTATACAACAGAATTATGAACGTACAAAGTCTTCCTGAAATGTTGGTTTTTCTCCGTCCTCTTCTTCCTTTGCCTTCGACCTCTCACTGTTATCCTTCTCTTTTCCCTCTTTAGAATTGGACCTTCCTTCTTTCTCATAATGATTTTTCTTTCTGTTACTGGGATAACTACTAAAGAATGGCTGCTCTCCGTAGTAGTCAAATGGACCAGCATAGAGATCATAGTATCCTGGATAGGCACCATTCATCTATACAAATTTGATCATTATATATAATCAGATATATATTTAATCTTAATGTGCTTCTGGTAAATTGTTATTGCCTTCCTTTTCATCAGCATTGTCCCCGGTAAAACATGTATGAAATTACTGTAACATTAGGATGCTTTAAAAATATTTTCTGTTTTCCGTTGATTTCTACAGTGAAAGAACACATTTTACCAAAGTTGTTTTGTTTTCCCAAGTAATTATTTTAAATTGTTTTATGAAAATTTATATGAATATCTATAAATTGAGCATGATTAAAAAATATTCATATTTCAACCTTTGAAAATTGATAAGTTTGCATTAAAAATACAGTTCACAGTTCTTTGTGAAATTCAAATTTATCTTTAGATTTTTTCCTACTTCAATTGCAAAGTAAATAATTTTGATTGTTTTTGTTATTTTGATTCAAAAATGTTTCATCAGAATAAAACTTGAATAATCTACAGTAAAAATGAAAATGTCTTATTGTTCAATTATTTAATTATTTAAAAATTCATTTAAACTTAACACAGTTTAATGTGTCACAAATGTAAAGCATATGCATCTTGGCTTGTTTTAACACAATTTCATTAACAAGGATTGAAGATTAAAACTGAATCAAAATCCTAAGCAAACCAAGTTCCTTGATATGTACATAATATTGTTTGGGGTCTTTCTCTTTTGGGGGTCAATATTGATTTGTCTTGATAACATGTCCATTGTAATAATGGCCATAGGAAGCCATTTTAAATTTTGATTTGTTGAAAATAACACATCTTGCTAAAATTTCATTGCAGAAGAAAACTAAACATTTCATGCTGAATTTCACTTTTAACGTGTCTAATTATGCAACATACTCATAACTTAAATAAAAATAAATTTTTATTCTTTAAAATTAGATGTGAAATACTTTTTCAAAAAAAAAAAAAAATCACTCTCACTATCTGAAAGAGCATTAATCATTGTTAATAAACACGATAAAAGTCAAAGGTGTTACTTAACAATTCTACAAAGACTACGCCGTTTGCTTATTACTGGAAATTAATTTCAATTTTCTTAATTTCAGTGTGTTAACTAAGCCTTGTTGCAATAAGATGTATGTTGTCATCATATGCAGGTTTGGTCCTATTTTTAATATGCTATAAATTACAGGTTTGATGAAACTCTGTGATTATTATTATACATGGAAATTTTTTACTGTTGTATATATAGAGATTGAAATTCTGTAGATCACTTAATTTCTTGTGACACCTTATTTTCACAAGATAGTCAATGACTCTTCAATCGCACAAAACTTTCACAAATGGTGGTTATTGCTCGACAAAATCTTAAGAAATACTATTACAAGTGAGAATAAAATTTTCACAAGCACAATGTATTGCGTAATAAAATCAATCTCACGTAACAGTAAGAGCATTAATCATTGTTAATAAACACGATAAAAGTCAAAGGTGTTACTTAACAATTTACTAAAGAAAATACCCAAATCTTTGCTACATTTACTGGAAATTATTTCAATTTTCTTAAATGAAAAAGCACAATGTGTTAACTCTAAGCTATTGTTGCAACACCATATTTAATATGTTGTCATCATATGCAGGTTTGGTCCTATTTTTAATATGCTATAAATTACAGGTTTGATGAAACTCTTGTTTTATTATTGGCTTCTATGGAAAAGATTTAAAACTGACATCTAATTATATATAGAAAAGATTGAAATTCTTTAGATCAAGAAAAACTTAATTTCAAAAGTCTGCAAATAGGTAAGTTTCCAGTAACATATAATCAAATTAAAAAAAATAGTCTTAACAAAATACAGTATAGGGCCTGATGCCTTGGTTATTGCTCGACAAAATCTTAAGAAAATACTGACCTTACAAGTGAGAGAAATGTCTCCTCTAAGCATCAATGTAATTTCTTTTCGTAATTATGTGAAGACATAAATTTCACGTGAACAAATAGTGCACAATGTGCCATGTGAGCAGAGTTTGTTCTGATGTAATCAGTGATTGCAGATAACTACAACCATGACTCTAATGTTACAAGTACGATCGACTTACGATAAGGCGCGGTAAACAAATGGAGTTGCCTGAAAATACATAATACTGGCATTACTGCTCACAACAGGATATTTGTAACTGGACTGAAGAATGTAAAAGCTAATCTAAGAAATCACTCTTTAAGTCTTGTTGTATTCTGTTTAATTTGAAACATTTTAGGATTTAATTAAGATTGCTTGTATTACAGTTATCGGTCCCAAAATGTGATTTGTCAAATGAGTTTACATGCAACAACCATAACGAAGTTTCTGCGTAGTTAATGGGTGTTTTGTAGTAGTATTAATTGAAGATACAATTGATTTAATTTTATATTCATATTATTCATTGTGAACGTTTTACTATTGGTTTACATTGTTCATTGCGGATGCACCCACTGACACGTGCTTCGCGTAAACCTGACTGAAGTAAAATATGACATCTAATTACGCCATAAAAAAAAAACATTGTATTTACATTTAACAATGTTTAATATACAAAATAAAGTTTTGTTCTACTTTTTTCCATTTGATGTCCTAAAATTATCTCACATGTTTCTCAAATATTCTATTGATATCTCCATCCATTATGATAGAAAATTAACTAACGATACAAAGGATTTAAAAACAAATCATAAATATTCTGAAGTTTAATGCATTCTCAATTCTTTTTCTGTAAAATATGAAAATATTACATGTTGCATGGCTTTTTCATATATCAAATGAGGCCATGCTTAATTATTAATTCTCATTTACAGTCTTCACGAAAACTCAAAGGTCCAAAGACCGAGGCCAGTGAATTTTGATGTTGGGTCAGTGAAAATCAAAATTCAAGAAGTCCGATGGGCTTTTTGATTATTAAAATCATACACAGTCAATATATTTTTTACCTGTCTTACTTGCATAAATTTCATTAATATATTAAATAAAAAGAACAAGCACATGTTGTTGAATCGTATTATCATAACCCTATTATAACATGGATGTATTATGTAACAACCGGAACTAGCTAGTAACTATTAACTAGTACATAAAATGTGCGAAGTTCCAACAAACAACTTACCAAAACACGACAAAGGACAAAAAATGGCGGCATTTCAAAAGTTGAAGTATGTAAACATGTATAAATTTACAGTTATGAAAATGTATTTATTTTATTTTTTTTTTTAATTAAGGGGCCAGTAAAAATTTTGGTGAGCCAGTAAATTTTGAAAGTTCACTGGTCCGACTGGCCAGTTAATTTGAAAAGTTTTCGTGAAGACTGTATTTACAGATAAAAATAAAAAAAATTAAAATCAGGATTTCATAAAATAGGATAAACATATCTTTTCTGTTGTAACTTGTATAGGCAGTAACTAACTTTTCATGATTATACCCAAGGACCAACCTAGGGGGCGACTGAGGCGAAATAGTCGCTTTTGGGCTCTAAACTTCGCCGTAATTTATCATGAAAGCGAAGTTCAAGTCGCCTTAACATTTGCAAACCCTTTATTGAAAATAATAAAAGAATCTATTAAGAAACATGGTAGAACCCTCAGTAATTTATAAATCTTGTTTAATTACTGCTGGAATAAACGAAACAGCAGGACACTTGCACCTGTTTCGCTACAAATGACTAATGCGTCGAATACTCTGTCGGAACTCCTCTAGATTTTACGCTTCCGAGTATGAAAAAGTCCATTGTTACAAGTTATGCACAACCAGACGCAAAACAGCTGGTCAGCTATCGATGTCATGCCAAAGATGATGATGATTTTAGATCTTTTTATCGCCAAATAATTATTTCATGCTGTGAATACAGACATACTTTTACTGTTAAATTGTGGAGTTATCACTGTCCAAGAAATTACACGTCTGATATACGGAGTTCAATCAGCATGCAGTATGTAGTACATGTAGTACACCAAAACTTTTTTCAGAAATAAAAAAAAAAAATAATATTAAAAACAATTTTTGAAAATAAAATAACAAAAACTTGTACCATTCTATGACACTGAAAATTTGAAATGAAAACTTGAGGATAAAATTCAAAAGTTAATTGTGCATATTATGGAAAATGAAAAAAAAAAACAGTTTTATAATTTTTTTTTTTTGCTTGATATACCTTGTAATTGCAAAAAAGAAAAAAAAATCAGATTCTCTATCTCTCTCTCTTTTATTTTGATTATTTTTACTAGGATGTCAATACAAAAAAATTAATGAAATGTATTTTAAGTTATAAACAATGAAATGGTTTCATTTTTAAAAAGTTTTAATGATCAGTGAGCGCCGCGCGCGCCAAGAAGTCTCCCTAAATTTTAAAACTTCTCCCTAAATTTCTCTGAGGGAGAAGTGAAGTCTCCCTAAATTTTAAGTCTAGGTTGGTCCCTGTATACCTATTGTTCATTGCTACGAGTTACTCAAAGCATTTAAAAACATGAAATCTCTCTTCCTTTCTTTAAATAACTTTTTAAGAATTCAATCTGGCCTAATACTTACAGGATTCTCCTGTGATGGAATCTTGAGCCAGGCTGGTGCAAAGTCGTGCTTTGGAGCGTTGTGAGCTGCCATCACATCATCATGATGAATGGGCTGTGAAAATATAGTGAAAGTTAACAATACTAAAATAAATGAAATTTTCTTTTCATTAAGACTTTATTCCATCTAGTATTTGACTACATCAGCAGAAGCATTGATTTTTTAAAGCCGTTGATGTCATGTAGCTCTTGTAACATCAAGAATTGTAATCTTCACAAATTGGAACCTAATAAATTACCTTTGATGTAAACCGTGTCCACAATGATCACCAAACCCTCTTTTTTTTCTACGATGCACTTCCAAATATTTCATGAAAGTTCCAACATGTAAGGCACTTGCACAATGTGATCAGTTTTTTAAACAACACAAGCACTCTGGGATTTCAACACTCACAAATCAATAGACTTCAAACGTTATCAACCATACCACGCAAAGACAAATGCCGTGGCACTTATCCTAAGAGGATAATCCTCGCTCACTTATTTTGCCACAGTCATGTACTCATAATTGTATATATGCAAAATTTAAAAAAAAATCAAAAAACAAAACAGTCCAAATCTGGTGAAATATGTACTAGCTGGTCATGATTTCTTACATATCTTCCCCATTTACTCTCCGCTAAAAATTGTTGATTCTTGAGAGGGTTTTGGACAAATAAGAAATCATATCAAAGATTATAAATCGTCAGAACTGCCATGCTATCGTCATCTGGTCGTCTTCACTGATTGGCCTTGAGGTTGTCTTCTCCTGAAATAGTTGACGTTCTTACTATGTCTTCCACGAATAAATTGTTCCTGAAAGACAATACGTATTTTCTTGTACACTGTAAACTTGCTTATAAACTCTTACATAGAATACAAATGCTTGACACATACAACTGAAACGTTTTCCCGCCGTGTGAAAAATAATCTGTCACAATTCAAATGCACATGGATAAAAAGTGTTTACTTGGAATTTGTTTCTGTCTTTTCATTTAGTAATAATTCACAAACACCCACTTCGATTGTAAATTCTCAAAAAATGTTTCTTACAGCATTCGTTAAATACACTGTCAATCTCCTTGTATTACAAACGTAGAAAGCATAGGCAGATTTTTTTCGCACTCTCACTACACTTTCAACAGAAAACAAATATGGCGACTAAAATTTCCCACAATTCAACACGAGAACTTTGCCGAACTCAACATCTTTCCAAAGGTTTGTGATAAACATTTCGAAAATAAAAAAATAAGAAATGGTAAAATTTATTTAATAAGACAATGGCCTTTTTAAAATTAAAAAATATATTTTAAAAAAAAATCACACGGTGTCCATAAATTTAATACCCTGATTAATTGGCACCTGGGATATTCCGATTTATTTATTCAAGCTAGCGCACTGTATCATTGGCTGTAAAAATGCGAACGACAGAACTGAAAAGTTACAGAAAATCAAAATATATAGTTTTTTTTATTTTATTTTATTTTTTTTTTTGCATTCTAACTGACATAAGACCATCTTTAATTTTTTTAATGCCTCATGTCCGTCCTACATTCTTTTTTTTGGGCCTTGGCCTTTCCTTTGACCAGGGTTCTGTATATTATAGATTCCTGCTTTGACCTTGACCCCACTTACCTTAAAATGCTAAAAAAAGCTTGGTTAAAAAAAACTATTTAAGATAGGTCTAATTTAAGCAAGCCTACTATATTAAGAGCTATAAAAGTTCATGAACATTTTTTTGACCTTGACCTTTTCTTTGACCTTGACTTTAAATTCACGTTAAGCTAAATTTCAAAGAAATTATTTGAGATATTATCAACTTTTATATTTTTATATGCTTACACCATATTGATGAGAGTTATTCAATTTCATCAACGTTCTTGACCATGTCCATTTCTTTAATCTTGAATTCAAATCTGTGTCCATCATATTATCTACATATTTTTATCAAACTTCATATGCTGAGACTTATATCAAGTAGAGCTATTCACTTTCATCAACATATTTTATTTGTTTTTGTTCAAAGAAGGTATTCAAAATATTTTTAATGTAATTAAACTAGCTCATGTACTCAGATACATTATTTGTTGAGTATCATCAACAATTACTGAGTTCTTTTTTTTAAAGCTTTTTATTGATCTTTCCAGTTAATATTCTTGGTCAGAAAGTGAAAAGACTGACTTGTAAGAATTATAACCATGCAGCCTTCTCTTTTGTTTTCCTGCTACACGTCTTACTTTTAACTAATTAATATTTTCTAACCGCATGTCCTTTTTGTAAAAATAAGAATGTTTGTTCACCAAGATACAGCTCACAGATCATATTGATTGAATGAACCATAAAAAATTAAGAAAACACCCAAAGGCACTTCATGAATTCACTTTAATACATATATTCTCATTGAGATTTCAAAAATTAAAACATTTGATTGTTCAATGTTCCATCTATGTATGGCAGCATATGAGATATCATAACATTACCTTTATAAATAACGATAAAATAAAGTCCCATTTACAAGAATATTTGAGAGTTCCAAGATCCTAGACTTTAAAGTGAACAAGAAACAAAACTGGAGAGATTCCATTAAATTTTAATCGTCCTCCAACTACTCTCCATCAAAAGCAACTAAATTTTATAAGCTATAGGCCCAAAGACCACAATGCTCACCCTAGCCTCTATCATTCTGTTGTTTTTCCATCAGATCTCCCCATATATCCCTGTGTAAAACTGATCAAATATTGTGAGTCCATTCTATCCCCAGGGGATATGATAAAAAAAAATTCAATTTTTGCTGCCTGACAATGCTAATGTATAAATGCAACTAATCTTGGATTTTTTATTCTTGAGAACATTTTCAGCAAATGTTTCCTATTCATGTATATATTTCTCACTTAAACTAGAGTGGGGGGATGATTTGAATAAACTTGAATCTGCATAATCTGAGGATGCTTTAGTTTAAATATGACATTTATTGCTTTGCTGTTTTTGAGAAGAAAAATTTAAAATATCCTTTTTCCATATAAATAACATAATAAACTTTGATTACCTGATGTGGCCCCATCCTAACCCTGGGGGGAGAGGCACAATTTGAACATACTTGAATCTACACTCTGTAAGGCTTTATCTATATATTTCATTTTCTAGACCATTGATTCTGGAGGAGATCTTTTAAAGATGCCATTAAATTTTCACAATTATTTCCCCTTGAAAGAGGGTGTGGAACTTCATTTGGACAAACTTGAGTTCCCTTCAACTAAGGGTGATACGCTGTGGCAAGTATGTTTTGCAGAAGAAGATGGAAATGTGAAAAATTAATTACGACAAGACAACTTAACAAATTAAGATCATGAAAAGCAAGCTACTATAAGCCTTTAGCTCAGGTGAGCTTAAAATATTTGTTCAAGAGCAATTGTCATTCAAATACAATAGAACTCTTTCTGAATTTGTATAGCCAAGATAAGCAAATTGCATCAACTGAATGTAATACATTTACATGAGAATAATATGAAATGGACAGAACGAGGTCATACAATGCCTTACAAACTCCAGACAGGTGGTCTCCAAACAAATAAAATGATTCTTCTTTTTTTTAAGTGATCAAAAAATTGGATATATTTCAATTCACAGTTTGTTTCTTGTTATAAAGCCATTCAATTCAACTGGGATTAATGTCTATAAGATAATAGCAAACAAAATCTCTAATGATAAATTATGATGTGCTTGGGAGGAGTCTAGCTCAGTGACTGATCATACAAAATTCTGTTGAAGTCAAATAAGCTCTACCAATCAGAAGCCATGGACATCTTAGTACAAAAATACTTAAATTTCCACTTCAGGTATTTTTTAAAAGGACATGTAGATAATATCCATTTTCTTATGTAAAAAGTTTTTAGATAATATCCATTTTCGTAGGTAAAAAAGTTTATACATGTATAACAAATATATAAACATATACAAGTATCTTCAACAGAGCATATTCAATACAACACATAAACCTGAGTAAAATTGAAATAAGACCTGGTCTTTAAAAAGAATTGATTATTATGATGAGTAATGCCATATACAGGTGGAACTGGAACCAAGTGTGTACAGAGTCATACGAGAATAAGATAATGTTATCACAGATAACAATTCAGTCGAACACGACCGTCTTGAGGGAGTCCTCCTCTTTGATCTCCAATGTTGCGATGGCTCCGTCATTAAACTTAAAGGAGGAGCCACCATCCACCACCAAACAAGCGTCCCACATCCGAGAACAGATCTGAATTCTGTCAGGAAAAAGATCACACATAGATAACTCATACCAGAGAGAGTCTAAATGCAGCTTTATTGCTTATAACAAAGTTTCAGGGTCAGAAGATTTTGCTTCATTATGAGCGTAAATTGTTACATCTGGTAAATTTACAATAAATTTCGAAATTATTTTTGCATTATTAAGTGTCAATTTGTTACAGGCATGTTCACTATAAGTGTGTTTTACTGAATAGTGCATGACTTTATATGTTATGCTCCCCCCCCAATGCTCCATTATTTTTTTTTTACAGCCAGTCCCCTCAATAACACTGACCACATTTTTAAAATTACCTCCCTTATGGGATTTTTTCTGTAGAAATGATCAGAATTACATGTTAAATGGGGCAAAGAAATGCATTTGCAGTATTATTTAAAAAATAATGTATTTTGTGTCTTCTAACTTTGAGTTTTACTACACACTGTTTTAAGCCTTTTGATATCTTCCTCTTATTACTGGTATTTAAAAATTATGACCCAATTAATCTCTAGTCTTGATATCTGTATCAAAGTACTTACTTTGTAGCAAACCCTTTTGGGTGCTGCACTTGAAAGACACCTAAAAAAAAGTTTTTGATGTGTAAGTATCCAGTAAATTGTTTAAAAACAACAACATATATTTATTTTTTAAAGTAATTAACTCAGAGACACTTCTGGGACATATATTGGTGATAGAAATACAGGAGTGGTAGTCAATATACCCTAAAAACTGCCAAAGATCTTGTGTTACATATTATACAACATTCACATTCTGAAATTGCATTTGTCATGACACATTGATCAATTTGATCTAAAACAAAAACAAACCGAACGTAATGAAATAAAAATTGAGAAACAATTGTGGACTTTGAAAGATAAGATTACATGTAAAATGTTGATTAATTTACCATTACGGACAGGGTCCCGGGTTGTGAAAGCCATTTTGGGTTCACTAGGGTCAAACTTTAGAGAGTCATTGTATTTTTGAGTAACTTTGTAAATGAGGTTTGGATCCAACAAATTCATATGTCTGTCTGGCATCAACTCATTGGCTGAAATTAACAAGTAGATACATGTACATGTATAGCAATCTAATAAATCTTGAGGTATTGTGAGCAATGAGCTCACTAAATGACACCTCCGCCTCCCATATTACCATATAAGTGGAAATTTTGCGAGACGCAAATTTAGCGATTTGTCCTTAAAACCTGGTAATTTATTTTTAGTGAGATGTTATTTTAGCGATTCTAAAATACACATTAAAGAAGCTATTACAAATAAAACGCAATTAATTTTTAGCGATATTTAATTTTAGCGATCTCGGCACCCTCGCTAAAAATGCCAAAATTAAATCCTCGCTAAAAATTCTACTTATATAGTAATTTAATGGCAGTGTCCATGTTCTGCTTTGGGAAACCCAAAATATGTGTTGGATCAAAAAGTAAAATAGAAGGTGCACAATAGCATTATGTAATAATGATTCTCTGAAAGTCTCATCAAATTTCATTCAGTGGTATAACAGGAGTTGCAGATAAGAGATGGGTACCCCAAAGTGAAACAGACGAACATACAGACAGACAGCCGGACATCACAATTACTATATACCCTCACGCTTTTCAAGCGGGGACAGAGCTGCCAACATTCTGAAATGAAAAATAGTAAGGCCTGGTCCTGCAACCGCCTAGGCCTCCTGCCGCTGTAGATGTTTTGTAAATGGACATGCCATCGGAGTAATTTGAGGCACGTTTCCATTTTGGCCATCAAAAAAATAAAAAACGACGATACATGCAAGCGATGTAAAGATCATGACTATATATATATTTAATTATAATAGTACAAAATGTAGATGGCCAGTTATGAAAATTCAGGTGTTATAAACTTTGATCAAGAAAAACCAAAATTGGAAGAATATAGAGAGAAATCGTATGGCGTATTTTGGATGCTAATTTCAGAATACTTACGTTAAAATCGTAAGGGTTGGCAGCTCTGCGGGGGGTATAATTAGATGTTAGATCTGCTCGCATACTCACTATCTAACATCCCATAAAGGGTCACGTCAGAGGTCAAATTTGGAACAACTCTAGACTTATGTGCTTCAAATATACGATGATTTTGCAGGCGGCGATTTGATTGGTTGATGGAATTTGACTTCTGAGGTGACCCTCTATGGAATGTTGTTAGATGCTAGGGTAGCGAGTATGGAAGCGGATCTAACATCTAATTTTATTGAATAAGATTGCATGTATAGTTTATTTCTAGGGTATAATGTATCAAAAGGACCTGTCCCCACAAAATCACAATACATGTATAATATTACCCTGGTAGTTCAGTGAAAGAGCAACTGGTTTTCAGGGAATTAGAATTCCATACATCATTACATGATTATTTTTGTCATACATGTATAAGGACTGTTAAGTGTTTAAGACATTTCTTTCGGGTCACAATAGATCATCTTAAAAAAAAAAATCACAAATGTATACAACAGGATCTTTCAATTTCACTGACCTTATAGGTAGTAAAAAGAATTAATTATGATGCCTTACCGTATCCTAGTATTGTCTCTATGGCCTGTTGAGGGAGGTTATTTATGTGGTAAAACCAGGAACTGGACCCAGTCCCAGTACAGACCGCTATACCGGAACTCTTGTGCTTCTCACTCGGGTGATCATCTACATTTATTTCATAGTAAGAAACTCTGTTCAAAGAAGATGTTGAGAATAAGATAAGGTTCTGTAAAACAAATTAGGATTGATCTGCCTGCATTCATTATCACAAACTCTGCATTCAAAAACTTGCACAGTGTCAGATTTGTTGGATGTTCCTGTAATATTTACAGCTTACATATAAGTCAAACTAAGGAGTTTTATTTCAAAATTATTTTTTTCATTAAACTCTTTCTAAGGTTAAAAAAGATTTTCCTGTCATGAATGTTTATAAAAAAGCACCCTTCCCTCACAATCTTTTTATTCTGCTATGATCATACTACGTACTTGTCTGTATGGTTAGCAAGACATCATTAAAAAAATATCCTGGCAAATTGAAAGTGTACTTTTGAAAGAAATAGACCCAGTACCTGGCAGATAGGCACTCTCCTATAAAAACCTCATTGAGGGCCAACACAGGAAGAACTCTAGGAGTGGTGGCGTTCTCCGACACGTTAATATTCTGTCTGTACGTCTCACCCTCCCCCACATGTTCTGTGAATCGGTGTTCATAAAACTCAAGTTGCTGGTCGTGAAGTTCTACTGGTTCATCATTCTCATGGTGTCCAGACATTGTAATGCGAATCCTCTGACGTCGCTTCCACCTAAACAAAAAGTGATTCTCTGACATTCAACAAACATTGAACCAGGAGCCTTTGGTGAAATTATAGCTACACAGCATTGGCCCTTTTGCCCCCCCCCCCCTCCCTTTTAACAGAGGCAATAGTTATTTGAACTTTCCTTGTGTAACTTGTGATTGAGACAAAATTTTATAATTTATTTCTATACATCTCAAAGAGGGATGTGCAGTTTTATCGGTATACCGGTATATCGCGATTTTTTGTTGCATGATACGTATTGTGATACGGAGACCTAAATACCGGTATGTAGGTACATATTATAAAGTCCAGAAATTATTCATTTATTTGTTCAATCTTTCAAATAACAATTACAGAAAGTCTAAAAATTGTTGTAAAAGGTAAAAAGAACTGCATCTTACCATCCAAACATAATTAATTATATGTATATATGATTTCAAATAAGTGAAAATTTGTTTTTTTAGCATATTTTAAGAAAAATAATAAATTTTCATTTAAAATCATTGTAAAAATTGCTTGTAAAAATATCGTGATATTCTGGGAAAAAATCGTGATATATCACAATACGAAATTTTTGGCGATACCCATCCAGGTTGGAGAAAATACTCAAAATCAGGTATTATCGGTGAAATCGCGTATAATACCCGATATAAGGGTATCGTTAAATCCGGGAAATCAGGTATTCCGTGCAACTTTCTATAAAAACAAAAGAACGGCGCATTATGCCACTTACTGTTACTTGTACATCATACGTCAAGATAAACAGGTAGTCGACATCACCAAGATCAACGTATCGGAGTTTATGCAAATCATTTATATAGTAAATAATGCCGGGACCGCGGACAGACGTCGACATACATGTATCAGAGGTTGTTGATATATCCGATGTCAAGATACCGAAGTTTACCTGTATATTTTTTTTAATTATCTAAAACATATGAATTCATATAGAGAGGAGAAATGGAGAAAAATTGGACAATACATTTCTGATTTGCTTGACTAGCTTGTCTGGGGTGATGGTCTCGTTCTTCTGCATCAGATCCGTCAAAGCTTCACTGTAGACAATCACTGCATCATAGGCCAAGGCATACATAGCCAACACCTGAAATAAGTCACATACATAGTTTATAATCAGTAATACCATATGCATCTTAGGCCAAGGCATACATAGCCAACACCTGAAATTAGTCACACACATAGTTTATAATCAGTAATACCATCACTGAATCATAGGCCAAGGCATACATAGCCAACTACACCTGAAAAAGGTCACACATATAGTTTATAATCAGTACGAGGGTTGTCCCAAAAAGTCGTAGACAATGTTTATAATTTTTAAAGTACGCAACCAATTCTAACCAAATTTTGCACTGACATAAAATATTCAATGTTCTTTAAAATTGTGAATTTTTAAATTTATATCTTTCATATTAATGATATTAGGGCCATTTATATGAAGGCCGATAAGGCCTGTCGGCGCACTAACAAAATTCTGAATAATTTTTGCATATAACTATCACATTTGCTTTTATTTCTTTAGTACTATATAATACATTGAACTTAAGATTTAAATCACTGAAAGCAGAATCAAAATCTTAATAATATCTCAGAATATCATATAAATTGCTTTGGAAACAGACGATTGGTGTCATGATTTTCAGTGTTGTTCGTATTGAGTTTAATGAAAATGACGTCGTCAAACGCGTAGCCGGCGCATGGAGATGTAATAAATTGTGTTTGTTATGGTTTATATACATCAGAGACTGGAAAAAATAGTAAAGAAGCGACATTACACACCAAATTTTAATAAAGAAGTTATTTTCAATTGGCACGATACTCAGTGAGAATACCGAAAATATTTTCGGGGTGTAATAAGTAGAGTACTTTTTGTTAAACGCAGATAACAGGGAAAAATTTTGATCTCGAACGACGTCAAACAATGTGTATTCTCTGCTACCTACAATGTAAGGCGATCTTTCGAATAAATTTCGACTGAAATTTGAATCTGGTTTAAAAAAAAAAACAAATAAAAAACAAACGGACAGTAGTGATTTTACTTAAGACCCTTAGTCAGGAGTGGTCTATCACTTTAAAAAATTATTGAATGTTAAGAGACGTGAGTGAAGCAGACAAAGAGATCATGACGTTATAAGAGACGTAATTTACGCTTGCTATCGTGCGCCGGTGTACACTTATATTCTTTCTTTATTTTTACATAATTTTCTTATTAGATGTGATATCATCATGAAACTTGAAATGCATGATCATAAAATGTTAATTTTCGCTATGACAAGGAAAAAAAATTAATTAAGCAAAGAGAAACTAAACTGTTTTCCCTGTCTACAACTTTTTGGGACAACCCTCGTAATACTACCACTGCATCATAGGCCAAGGCATACATACATAGACAATGCAAAATCTTAACAATTTCTGACATTTTCATACAAAATATTTCTGCTCTTTTCCTTTTGCAAAGATTAAACTGAGTCAAGTACACATGCTTTGATTATGGTAATTTTAGTGTCTATGAACAAAAAACCATTTTTAAACAAAAACTGCAGCTTTCCTGCCTATAAAGAGGGGCGAGGGAATTGTTTGTTGGCTTGGTTCTTATCAGATCTCCTTTCTGAGTTTACCTCTAGCCACTTGTTCTTTCTATTGGTTCCTCTGTAATTCTTCTGAACTCTGTCAGTAAATAGATGTCTCTCCATTACTCTCTTCCAATGGTCCGTCATCAATCCATTTAAATCATACGTAGAATCAATTCCTATCCAACCCTTGAATGCTGTGCTACATGGCAATTCCTGTATGAATGAAAAAGTTATTTCACTTAAAAATTTATGCAAAACTAATGAAAACTCAATGAAATCATAAAATTGTATTTAATGAATACAAGTTATGTGATTAAAAATAAAGCTATGCTTAAAGAAATGATGAGACAATCTTTATTAAAATACAAATTATCATATATATAAATGTTAAATATTGTTAACATGGTTAAGTTACCACTTTAAATAATGCAAAATCTTAATATTTTCTGACATTTTCATACAAAATATTTCTGTTCTTTTTGTTTTTGCAAACTGATGATTAAACAGAGTCCAGTGGATGATTCGTACATATGCTTTGAAATATACATGTATTGTTATGATTAAATCCAATTCCTTTTTTTTTTTTATCGAAGGCACAATTCCTCCAGGCAACAAAATAGAATTAAGAAATAACTATCTTCTAATTTGGTATTTGCGACCGTTAATGCTGATTTAACTTCTCAAACTGAGTTTACCGGCTCCGCTTATGCGTCCCCGGTAAAACCGATGTTTGGGAACGTTAAATCAGCATTAACAGTCACAAATATCAAATTAGGAGATTAGTTATTCCCATTCTAATGCAATCTATGCATTTTTTGTTGTTTACATCTTATTTTGTTGATTTTTATTATACAAAATACGTCACGGAGCATTGTGTTTTTGCGTCGCTCTATTATGACGTCACAATGAAAAGCTTTCACTCATGTTAATGCTTGTTTTACTGCTTCAAACATCAGCGCATTAGCCAATCAAAACATGTTTTACAAAACAATTGCATTAGAATTAAAAATTAAAGAACTGAAAAAGAAATAAAGCTATTCAGAACACCAATAAAAATAATAAAACATTTCATAAGTTGTAATTAAATAGAGGCATAAGAAATATCCCATTATTTTTTATTATGAATCAAAATGGTGTTCAAGATACAATTCAATAGTCAATAATGTTCCTATAATGTTCCTATCCAATTCTCAAAAACAAGAAGAAGTCTGTGAGCCAATATGCATCAGTAATAACCCAGCTTTGATGTGAATATACACTCTCATGAGCATAAAAACAAGTTCATATAGGGTAAATTCACCATGCATCGGATACCCTTGTACTTCAGCAAGTTCTCGCCATATCGCTACCGATGGAAAATTATCAAAATGGAGTTTAACATTTAGTTTGTGATTAAAATATCAATTTGGGACACAATTATATGCCCTTTATTGAGAAATTATCCTCAAAAATCGAGTTTTTAGGAATAACGCAAAATTCACCATGGATCGGACATTGTTTACCATGCATCGGACAGACGGTATTTTTACTGGAAAAATATCATACATTTATCAAAGTGCTTTAAAATGCTTGATGTGGATATATTTTTATCTTTTATCTAAGAAATAACCCTCAACTTAAATTTAATTGACGATATCGTTGCACAAATCTAGAACGATTAAAGAGACCTCACTCTGCCTTAGAAATGCTTTAAAATGCTTATAATGCGGTAATTCGCGCCTTTTTTCATGGTTTATCATACTCTGCTTTGTAGAAATAAATTGAGTCAAATTCCAAACTTCATACATCGATAACTTGTATTTTGACTGAAAAAATAGAGTTTCTATTTTCTTTTTCCGCACAAAACAGCTATAAGCTGGGTTCTGTATGAAAATGGTAGTGCTTACCTTTGCATCGGAAAGTTCCGATGCATGGTTAATTTGTGTCCGATGTAGGGAGAAATGAACATACTAGTGAAAACCAGCTCTAAAAAGAATTATACGAACATTGAAGTGAAATTTCTTTAAAATTTATGTAAAATTACCAATCTTTGACTTTATTCACCAAAGTCTGACTCGTTCCGATGAAGTCGAATTTTAAGAACGATAACTCTAAAAATCGCAGAATCATAAATTTCTGGTTATTCCCCTTTGATGATGTAAAATATGACGTAACTTCAAGGCTATTCTCGGGGTATTTTTATCACAACATAATAATAACAATCGGTATCATTAAAAAAATTAAATCTTCATCTTCAAGGCAGAAACAAATAAATACAGGGAACTCTTAAGTTGAAAGAGAATTTATTGTCTGAAGTTGTCCGAAGCAAGGTATGTGTCCGATGCATGGTGAATTCACCCTAAAGAAATGTACTTCCTGAGAAAACTGATGGAAATTTTGTACTGAAAGACACATACAGAGGAAATTGACAATGGATTTGTCAAAAAAGAAACCCACAATATGAAATGCCAAAGTAAAGAATGCGTTAAAATTTCAAGCATCTAAAAACAGTGACAAAAATTTTTATGGACAGATGCAGGGTTAAACAGTATACCCCCTCTCCTTCTGAGCAGAGGCATAAAAATCAGTACTCATCTCAATATAAAAGATGCACGATAAACTCTGATACTTTTTTGTTAGAAACCAGACAAGAATCCTTTTAAAAAGACTTCCTTTCCTTTAAGTTTTTGTAAATTTCCCCTTGATATGACTCTTAATAGATTTATCTATACCTCAATAAATCCCAGTCTACAGTTCATTTTACAAACAACAGCTGACTCTTATCTTGCTAAATACTTACATTTGGATCCCGACATCCTGCGTAATATTGGTTGGCGTAAGGGAAATACCAGCCATACTGTCCTATAGCACCCCACTGGTATCCATCATAGGAAGTCATGTTATTGCTGTCAACATCAAAAAGGGACACGATTAATGAATTCTCACCAAATAATGTGATAGTGCATAAGCTTCAATAAAAATAATTATCTTAATTCCTCTGAGACTGAGCTAAATGCATTTAAAGAAAGTGCGATCAAAATCTACAGTGGCGCTTTTTAAATTCAGATGCCTCCATCCCCAATAAAATCGTCCACATAAATGTGATTAAATCATCCAGGCAAATCTCTTCTTTAAAGACCCTCTCATGCTTGTTCATATGCACATAGTAGTTATCAAAAAAACTAGAACTGTCCAAACGGGACAAAATACCCCCCATTGGGTTTTTCAGAAGAAAGTTTTTCCATAAGAAAGATATGGACCGGACACGAATTACGAAATTTTTCTTCCAGTGACCTTGAACTTCCCCAAATGACCTTGGGTCAAGGTCAGGACACACCCTTGGGCTATGGGCAATCTTTGTGTGAAATGAGAACCTACCAAATTTATCCATAAGAAAGATATGGACCGGACTTGAATTATGAAATTTTTATTTCAGTGACCTTGAACTTCCCCAAATGACTTTGGGTCAAGGTCATGACACACCCTTGGGCTATGGGCAATCTTTGTGTGAAATGAGAACCTACCAAATTTATCCATAAGAAAGATATGGATCGGACACGAATTATCAAATTTTTCTTCCAGTGACCTTGAACTTCCCCAAATGACCTTGGGTCAAGGTTATGACACATCCTTAGGTCATGGGCAATCTTTGTGTGGAGTAGTAGATTCTAATGTCCCTCTGTAAGAAAGATATGGACCGGACACGTTTGCAAAGACAGAGGGACAGACGGACGGACAGACAGACAGACGGACAAGGTGATTCCTATATACCCCCCCAAACTTCGTTTGCAGGGGGTATAAAAAAACCTTTGTTTTACCTTGATTTATTTATTTTAATTCTATAATTTTAAAAGAAATAATATTAAAAAGATAGATAAATAAATGTAATTTACACGATGGAAAATGGATAGGCAATTTTATGTTGAGATCTCCCTTTTTAACACAGGAAACTGAACTTGCCTTCTAATTGACATGTGGTTATATGAGCGAAAACAATTGGCAATAGGTCACCTGATTGACTCAGGTGACCTAAAAAGACTTGCGCCAAAACCATTACAAGGACAGACAATGTTAGATAACCCTGTCAAGCTAACTAGCATGGTGAGAACTTCAGCTTACTTAATGATACCCCCATCTCCCATATGATTATAACTGCAAATTCCATGTTTAGCTCTGGGAGACCAGAAATAGTGTCAGATCAACTACAGGTAACTCTTGATACCTCGAAGTCCGCGGGACCGAGGAAAACCTTCGAGAGATCAGATCAAGAGTTCGAGTTTTCAAGAGTCCAGAATTTTCTGGGTTTGTTTGGCAGGTTTTTAAATTAGTCTTACCGGATATAACGATGTTCATGCTGTGCTTATTTTTCACAAGTGGTTTTTATAAAACAGCGATATGATTTCGTATTTTAGAAATTATTAACCTGAGTAAAGCTAAAAATGTACAACGTCATTTTATGTTTATTTTTTTATTCTTTATACTATGCATTCGTTATACGAAAACGACATTTTACAGCGCCGCGTGGCACATGGCATTGTGATTTTTCCAAACACGTGCATTGAACAAAGTTCTGTAAGTATTTGTCCAACAATTGTCGTCATATTGACACTGAGGCTGTTTCTGGATTTTCATATTTCGTTAAACTTTGACACTGACTCGAAATAAAATTAAATTTACTACGTTTCATCTTGTAATCTGCAATTACAATTTCTGAGTGACACTGCGTTTCTAAATTATCGTAATACAGTCGACGATAATTATTTTAATAGCATATAGGCAACATAAGATTAATTATAAATCAATTATCACCTTGCAGTATAAGTGTCACCTGAATAAACATCCCGTTTCACGAGACCCGCGTCTTCTGCCTGGGGCCATTAAATGTCCAGGTAAAGTTGCTAATTATGTAACTTGTATACACATAGCCACTTCGAGGTATCGAGGGTAAATTTCAATAGAATATGCATAGTGGGACTGCCTTTTGACTTCGAGGGATCAAGGGTTTCGAGAGATCAAGAGTTCGAGAAATCAAAGTAAATTTGCTTAGTTATACAGTCTTCACGAAAACTTTTCAAACTAACTGGCCAGTCGGACCAGTGAACTTTTAAAATTTACTGGCCCACCAAAATTTTTACTGGCCCCTTAATTAAAAAATAAAATAAATACATTTTCATAACTGTAAATTTATACATGTTTACGTACTTCAACTTTTGAATGCCGCCATTTTTCATCCTTTGTCGCGTTTTGGTAAGTTGTTCATTGGAAATTCGCACATTTTACGTACTAGTTGATAGTTACTAGCTAGTTCCGGTTGTTACGTAATACATCCATGATATATTAGGGTTACAATAATACAATTCAACAACACGTGCTTGTTCATTTTATATAATATATCAATGAAATTTATGCAAGTAAGTCAGTTATATATTGACTGTGTATGATTTTTATAATCAACAAGCCCATCGGACTTCTTGAAATTTGATTTTCACTGACCCGACTTCAAAATTCACTGGCCTCGGTCTTCGGACCAGTGAGTTTTCATGAAGACTGGTTATATAGGGGAAAAAATCGGGACCGGAGACTCACTTCCAGGGATCAAGAACTTCTCGAGATCAAAGTTCGAGCCATCAAGAGTTACCTGTAGGAGCACAATGGCATTATGTAATAAAGAATGTGAAAATATCATTAAATTTTATTCAGTGGCATAGGAAGAGTTGCGGATAAGAGATGATAACCCTTCAATATTGCAGAAAAAATGGCATAACAATTTAATGCTACATTTTTTCCAACTGAATTGTTACCTATTATACCGTACGTTCCTAATTTGGTAGCAAAAATATTAAGAGGCCCATGGGCCACATCGCTCACCTGAGTAACTTGGGTGATGCAGTTCTTTACCAGATTTCCCCTCTTCCTATACCTATCGTGCCCCCCTACCCCTTCCTTTTCATGATTTCAACACTTTAGAATCTACACTACCACAGGCAGGATGCTTCCACATAAGTTTCAGCTTTACTGGCCTATTGTGGCCCCGCCCTACCCCAGGGGGTCATGATTTTAACAATTTAATATCTACACTACCCAAGGATGCTTCCACATAAGTTTCAGCTTTCCTGGCCCAGTGGTTCTTGAGAAGAAGATTTTTAAAGATTTGTTCTTTATATTTCTATGTAAAACTTGGATTCCCTATTGTGGCACTGCCCTACCCCCAGGGGTCATGATTTTAACAATTTAATATCTACACTACCCAAGGATGCTTCCACATAAGTTTCAGCTTTCCTGGCCCAGTGGTTCTTGAGAAGAAGATTTTTAAAGATTTGTTCTATATATTTCTATGTAAAACTTGGATTCCCTATTGTGGCCCCGCCCTACCCCCGAAAGTCATGATTTTAACAATTTAATATCTACACTACCCAAGGATGCTTCCACGTAAGTTTCAGCTTTCCTGGCCCAGTGGTTCTTGAGAAGAAGATTTTTAAAGATTTGTTCTATACATTTCTATGTAAAACTTGGATTCCCTATTGTGGCCCCGCCATACCCCCGGGGGTCATGATTTTAACAATTTAATATCTACACTACCCAAGGATGTTTCCACATAAGTTTCAGCTTTCCTGGCCCAGTGGTTCTTGAGAAGAAGATTTTTAATGACTCCACCCTATTTTTGTCTTTTCTTGATTATCTCCCCTTGTAAGGGGACTTGGCCCTTTATTTTAACAATTTAAACTCCTCTTCACCCAAGGATGCTTTGTACCAAGTTTGGCTAAAATTGGTCCATTGGTTCTTGAGAAGAAGTTGAAAATGTGAAAAGTTTACAGACGGACAGACGGACGGATGGACGACAGACAAAATGTGATCAGAAAAGCTCACTTGAGCCTTTGGCTCAGGTGAGCTAACAAAAATGCTGTACATATACCTTCTAGCTTCACACAGAGTAAAGGCCATAAAGGGGGGAATCATAAACATCCATATTATCCGGACTCCATAGGATTTAATCTTATCCATGTACGTCTGTAAGAGGCCTGGTCTGCACAATGGTGGAGGAATGAATGGTATAGCAATCTGAAATGTAACAACATTCAGTTTGTTTTATCTGGTATCATATTGGCTACCACTATGTTAATTTTAGATTCATACAATGGAAGATGCCCATTTGTCACAATGCTCACTCAAGTAGTCCTTAAAGTCCGTCAGTTTATTTAGAACAGGGACCTTATCTACCACCAAGGGGCCATGACTTGAATATTCTTCAATATAAACAAACTGAGGATGTTTGAATAAATATTGTGACTAAACAACATCATGCTGTTCTTTACCAAAAAAAAAATTATTTTTTTTTTATTCTCTATTGTGCCCCCCCCCCCCCCCCACCTTTCCCCATCATGATTTGAACAATTAATCTGAGCCAACACTACCTCAAGATACATTTTTTTCACTATGACACTATTCATGAATTTGCTGTTCTTAAGGAGAAAGTTTTCCAGATTTTTCAAGTCTTTTTATTTTCCTTATTTCCAGACAGTAAGTAACTCCTATTTCTTACAAGTATCTTTGCATTCAATTATGTCCCCTCATCACCTTGCTTTCTCAAATTCAGAATAACTTGTAAAGACCTGCAAAATTAATGGACAAGATTTAATCTTACCTCTGCAGTAATTTCCAGATTGAAGTCTTTTGCTTTCTGAATGAAGACGTTGTTGATTTTTAAGTTGGACTGTCGAATGATTATCTGAAATATGACCAAAAACGTAATTAATCAGATTTCATAGCTCAAATCAAAAAATACAAATCATTAGGCAAGCCGAAGTTCCAGACCAAACAAATATTCCTTATTCCAAATAAATCTTATTATGGCATAAATGGAACTTTTAGCCAGACACAGATTTAGCGATTTGTCCTTAAAAATCAGCAATTTTTTGAGCAACTTCTTAAACCTCCAAATGCAGAATGAATTCTTAGCATTATTAAAATTAGCCAAAACTGAATTCTTCCTAAAATTTCTGCTTGTACAACATACTATAGACATGCATTGTTTCATACAGTTCTAGTACTGTACATTGTTTTATTATATATATATATCCAACTTTGTATCACTCAATTTTACTGTAGATTTCGTACAATCACATGACATCATGATACAACTTTCAAGATCACCACATTGTGGTTTTTTTTAATTCATATCAATCCTCACTGAAATTGATGCCTGGTACACAGAAACATGGCATTATTTTTCTTGTGCATCAAAAAGTTCCGTGACAAATGCCTAATGTTTAATGGGTTGATATTATATAATTGACCTCAAATTTTTTTCAATAAAAATATATTTTACTTGTTGTAAGGGGATGTATAATAAATTTATCATTACAACAATATATAAACACTTGGAATCATTAAGATCAAATTTTTGTTACACTCTAGATACCAAAAAACCGCCAAATCCTGTCAAGACTTAGATCCTTATTTTGTGAACTTGATAATAATCTAACAGGCTGAAAAGTTCAAGTTTGAGAGGATTGATTGTTTCTAAAATTCCTTACCATCTTCTTCCAGTTTCTGTAAGCAGCTGCCATCATAATACTGTGGGACAAGGAGCCTATATTCCAGGAGAGTCTGTTATAGTACGGATAGATAGCCTGAAAGTTTACATAGCCTCTATAGTTAACTGGGTAAAACTGACAAAGTTTAAAATCATAGTCTCCACAGTTAACTATAATACTGACAAAGTTTACAATCACAGCTTCTATAGTTAACTGAATAAGGGGACAAAGTTTACAATCATAGCCTCTAAAGTAAACTGTAATACTGACAAAGTTTACAATCACAGCCTCTACAATTAACTGAATGAGGGACAAAGTTCAGGGATCGACACTAACTTTAAAACCATAGTTGTCAGCAGGGATAGCAATTTCTAATTTCTACTAGCCCTGTTCATGTATTACTTGTCCAACAGCCGAAGGCTGGTGGCCGAGTTGCAAAGCGATGAGAGGGGTAGGTGTGGGAGGGGGTTTCCCCCTCCAGCTGGTGGGGGTACGGGGGGCCTCCCCCGGGAAATTTTGAAAATAGAGATGCAAAATCCTGCATTCTGGCTGTATTTTGGGTAAAAATTATATGTCACTTTATGATTGTACCTAAGACATTTTTTCTATTCGAAAAATTCCATATTTATAATCATTTAGGGTATTTTGAATCACCTTTAAAGTTTACATTTTGACTTACAAAAATAATAATTATGATGATAAAACATGTTTGAAAATAAATTTAACAATTATCAGGTATATTGTGTGTAAATTATAATTCTTTTCTTGCTCTTAGTGAGTAATTGGTAAAATTTACTGTAGCCCTGCAGGGCAAATTTAAAGACATGTCTGGTAGCCCGACCTCAGTATTCAGTTGTCCCGGGCCAGCGGGCTAGCGTTAGTGTCAAACCCTGAAGTTTACAATCACAATTTCTACAGTCAACTGAATGAGGGACAAAGTTTACAATCACAACTTACAGTCAACTGAATGAGGGACAAAGTTTACAATCAGAACTTCTACAGATAACTGAATGAGGGGACAAAGTTTACAATCACAGCTTCTACAGTCAACTGAATCAAAGTTTACAATCACAACTTCTACAGTCAACTGAATGAGGGACAAAGTTTACAATCACAGCTTCTATGGCTAACTAAATGAGGGACAAAGTTTACAATCAAAACTTCTACAGTCAACTGAATGAGGGACAAAGTTTACAATCAAAACTTCTACAGTTAACTGAATGAGGAGCAAAGTTTACAATCACAGCTTCTACAGTCAACTGAATGAGGGGACAAACTTTACATCACAGCTTCTACAATTAACTAAATGAGGGACAAAGTTTACAATCACAACTTCTACAGTTAACTGAATGAGGGACAAATTTTACAATCAGAACTTCTACAGTCAACTGAATGAGGGGACAAAGTTTTAAGTTTTTTTAAAAAAAAAACCCTGTAAAATATAAAATAGTACATTAAAGTAGTACTAACCTTATCTCTGAAGCCATATTCATCTTCTCTGGTGGCAATCTGGGGGATTTTGTTGGCTGCTAACACTGGGGCCAGACCCTCTGTTAGGGCATTAGTTCCCAGGCCAATTATACCTCGCACTCTCTTGTGTGGAGTTGACTACAGAATATTTCAAGAATTTTCAGACATATTTTGTCCATATAATTTTTTCTAAATGCTGCAAATCTCACAGACCTTTTTCCTATTCCATCTGAAACTTGAAATCATTGAAAAGGGAGAGGGGGACGGTGAAATTTTGGTAACAATTTAATTATTGGAGCATTTATCATTAGGTATATTCCTCTTATTAAATGTTATCAGTGTATCAATTTACTACTACATCTAGCAGTAAATTAATCACATCCAACTATTGGAGGATGAGGGAAATTAATTAACTTTGTCACATTTGATTCAAAAGATCTGCATGAATTGCAAGTTGTTTTCAAAATAAAAGATGAGTAAGAAAAAAGTTTTTATTTACAAAATACACAAATCCTATCCTACTCCACCTATGGGATCCTTTACACACTTTATTACATGATGTAGCTTAAATATTGTAACAATAATACATGTATGTTGGCCTGATAATACTAGATAGGAATATTAGTAACTAGTATACACACCTCTCCCTCTGCTAGCATTCCATCCAGTTGTTTGGCTGTAGTGACTGGATCATTATTTGTATTGTATGAATTAATGTGAAGATTCCTTCCTGTATAAATAATCAAACACAATTCATAAACGCTGTGCATACTTAGATTAAAGAAGTCAAAAGTTGGATTATAACTTTAATTTCTAGATTTTTTTTTTTTGGCTCATACTAAGAATAAGAAAAATACTTTGGGTAATGCCAGTAAAAATTATCTGAGGACAACAATTAAAAAATGATTTGTTTGTTGTTGTCTGACCAACCTCATATTGCCCAACCCAACAAGTTTCTCTGTACATGTACTTTAATTTTTCTGTTTTTTTTTTTTTTTGGTTTGAAGAGGACTACAGATTGCCCAGATCATTTTTATTGTTAAGGTTTTATAATTTCTGTAAGACACATTTACATTGCGCCAGACATTGGCACCATGCAGAATTATTAATTAGTGCTGGGTATCACGGCTGAAAAATCGTACCGCGATGTATTGCAATATTATATTTTGTATTGCAATATATCACAATATAAAATTTTTAATAAATTTTGCTTTTCATCAATGTTAAATGAAAACATAAACTCAAATTACATGTATTCTCGAGTTGATATTGCAACTGCCTGATCGTGTTGTGTCTACGCAGGTGGCAAGCTAAGTTTTTTGTGGCACAACTTTGTAATATTCAGATTCTGCCTTAACATGAAGGGCTTTCATGTTACAATTGTCGTCTTTTTGTTTCTGACAGACATGTCTCTGATTTCTGATCAAACTTCACGTTGCTTGCCGCCATATTTTACCTTGAAAAGGGCAAATAACTCTTTCTGTAACAATTTATAGCATATCGAACCCAAACCGCTAGTCACAAAAAAATACTGCGATACGTATTGTGAAGAACGAAATCGGGATACACCGGTTAACTGGTAATATCGCACAGCACTATTATTAATTCCACCTTCGGTTGTTATATATATAATAACTGTATTTCTCGTTTGATGATTAAAGTCCACACTTTGTATCATTCACATGACATTGTTTTGTGATCTCTCACACATTACTCTTATTGGTGTAGAACCTTTTGTGAAGGGGTGCAACGATACACCTACCCCATGATACAATACATATTACGGAATCCAGTTCATGATACGGTACGTATCGCAATGCTTTTAAAATAAAATGAAAGACGAGAAAAGTTATATTGAAATCAGACCAAAACTGTAGGAGGAAAAGCATTTTGAAAGAAATTTCAAAGAAATTTCTATTTTTAGTAACCACGGCAACACCGTTTACAAAAATCAAAAACTGATATAAGAATTATGTATCTTAGTGTAGTCTACTTGTGTGCCAAGTTATATTGAAATTAGACCAAAACTGTAGGAGGAGTAGTATTTTGAAAAATTGTTTACAGACAGACGGACAGACAGACATATCAACAAATCTTGGAAAATAACTTTCATTAAACAAGAAGCCCATGGGCCACATCACTCACCTGAACACATTGGCTAGGAAAAAAAGCAAAAATCATTTCAGTATTGAGAAGTTTACATGAAGGGGGGCATGAATTTTAAACTACATATACCTAATGATGCTTCCATATTAATATAACAAATGGCTTTGCTGTTTTTGAGCAGATGATTTTTTTCCTTTTATTCATTTGACACCCCCATTAAGGCCAAGCCCTACCCCTGGGGCCCTCATTTGATCCCGTATGACTTGGTGCTACCTGAGGATGCCTCCATATCAATATGAATAAACATGGCTTTTCTGTTCTTGGGGAAAAAAAATTTCCTTGATATTTCTAGGTATAACTTTGATCTCCAATTGCCCCCCCCCCCCTCCCCCTACTCCCCCTTTCATGAATTGAACAAACTTGAATCAACACTACCTAAGGATGCTTCCATAAAGATATAACCAATCATGGCTTTGTGGTCTTAAAAAGAAGAATTTAAAAAAATTTTAATGTATAACATTCATTTTTATGTAAAACTTTAATTGTCCATTGTGGTCCCGCTTTACCCCAAGGGTCATGATTTTAAGAAACTTGAATCTACACTTCCTGAGAATATTTTCACAAAAGTTTCATCTTTACTGGCCCAGAGATTCTTGAGAGGAAGATTTTCAAAGATTTTTCCTACATATTTCTATGTAAATCTTGAGTCTGAACTACCTGAGGATGTTTCCATATAAGTTTCATCTTTCCTGGCCCAATGGTTCTTGAGAAGAAGATTTTTAAAGATTTTTTTTCCCACATATTGCTTTAATGTAAAACTTTGATCATTAGTTGTGGCCCCGCCCTATCCCTGAGGTAATGATTTGAACAGCTTTGCATCTGCACTACCTGAGGATGTTTCCATATAAGTTTTATCTTTCCTGTCCCAGTGGTTCTTGAGAAGAAGATTTTAAAAGATGCCATTAATTTTTCACTAATTTTTAATTATCTCACCTTGGAATGGGGTGTGGCCCTTCACTTTATCAAACTTGAATTCCTTTCATCCAAGGATACTTTATGGCGATATTTTATGGCAAGTTTGGTTGAAATTGGCCCAGTGGTTTTTGAGAAGAAGTTGAAAATGTGAAAAGTTTCCACACAGACAGATGGACAGACAGACGCCAGACAAAATGTGACCAGAAAAGCTCATTTGACCCTTCAGCTCAGGAGAGCTAATAAAATGAATTCATCAAAGATAGTGTAGGCCTAACTGAACATTGAATACATATTGCACTTGTTAATTAAATTAATTAAGAGAGAGGAAAAATAACTTCAAATCCAAGATTGGAATATTTTCGAAGAACTGGGTATGTTATGTTTAACAAGGCAGCCCTGTAAAATTGGCTAAAAGTAAATGCACGACCAATAACCATTTTTGAACTGTGCCAATTTATTGTTAAGGATTACACAATAAAAACACACAAACATCCATCACCAAAGTCAACAGAAAAAATTGAACATTTTTAAACATTTAAAAAATGTCATCCCCTTTCACCCACTCAGATAATTTTTAATGGAATTGCCCTTACTAATGAATAAAGAAAATAACAGTTACCTGGTAAGAGATGAGGGTATATGTTGGCTTTGATATCTTCCAGTGCATGCCAGACAAAGGAATCTATGTTTGGTCCAGTATCAGAGGTGGATCCAGAAGAATAGTAATCTATGTAATTGCCTAAGTATACATCATCTGAAAGAGAAAGTCATTACACTTATTAATCCCTCTCAGATTTAACCATCTCTTCCCTATTAATAGAGGATTGTGCCTAAGGGCTGTAACTGTTTGGGGTGACTAAGGGGGGATGTAACTGGTTGGGGTGACTAAGGGATGTAATTGATTGGGGTGACTAAAGGCTGTAAATAATTCAGGGTGACTAAGGGCGGTAACTGGTTGGGGGTGACTAAGGGCTGTAATTGGTTGGGGGTGACTAAGGGATATAATTGGTGGGGGGTGACTGAGGGATGTAATTGGTTGGGGTGACTAAAGGCTGTAACTGGTTCAGGGTGACGAAGGGATGTAATTGGTTGGGGGTGACTAAGGGGGGAAGTAACTAGTTGAGGGTGACTAAGGACTGTAATTGGTTGGAGGTGACTAAGGGATGTAATTGGTTGGGGGTGACTAAGGACTGTAATTGGTTGGAGGTGACTAAGGGATGTAATTTGTTGGGGGTGACTAAGGGATGTAATTGGTTGGGGTGACTAAGGGATGTAATTAGTTGGAGGTGACTAAGGGCAGTAATTGGTTGGGGGTGACTAAGGGCAGTAACTGGTTGAGGTGACTAAGGGCTGTAACTGGTTGGGGGTGACTAAGGGATGTAATTGGTTGGGGTGACTAAGGACTGTAATTTGTTGGGGTGACTAAGGGCAGTAACTGGTTGAGGTGACTAAGGGCTGTAACTGGTTGAGTGTGACTAAGGGCTGTTACTGGTTGAGGGTGACTAAGGGCTGTAACTGGTTGAGGTGACTAAGGGCTGTAACTAGTTGGGGGTGACTAAGGGCTGTAACTGGTTGGGGGGTGACTAAGGGCTGTAACTGGTTGAGGTGACTTAGGGCTGTAACTGGTTGGGGGTGACTAAGGGCTGTAACTGGTTGAGGGTGACTAAGGACTGTAACTGGTTGGGGTGACTAAGGGCTGTAACTGGTTGGGGGTGACTAAGGGCAGTAACAGGTGGAGGTGACTAAGGGCTAACTGGTTGAGGTGACTAAGGTCTGTAACTGGTTGGGGGTGACTAAGGGCTGTAACTGGTTGAGGTGACTAAGGGCTGTAACTGATTGAGGGTGACTAAGGGCAGTAACTGGTTGAGGTGACTAAGGGCAGTAACTGGTTGAGGGTGCTTAAGGGCTGTAACTGGTTGGGGGTGACTAAGGGCTGTAACTGGTTGAGGTGACTAAGGGCAGTAACTGGTTGAGGGTGACTTACGGGATGTAATTGGTTGGGGGTGACTAAGGGATGTAATTGGTTGGGGGTGACTTAGGGATGTAATTGGTTGGGGTGACTAAGGGCAGTAACTGGTTGAGGTGATTAAGGGCAGTAACTGGTTGAGGGTGACTAAGGGATGTAATTGGTTGGGGTGACTAAGGGCTGTAACTGGTTGAGGGTGACTAAGGGCAGTAACTGATTGAGGTGACTAAGGACTGTAACTGGTTGAGGGTGACTAAGGGATGTAATTGGTTGGGAGTGACTAAGGGATGTAATTGGTTGGGGATGACTAAGGGATGTAATCGGTAGGGGGTGACTAAGGGCTGTAACTGGTTGAGGGTGACTAAGGGATGTACAGTGGACCTTCAGATATCCGGATGCTTCAGTATCCGGACGATTTTTCATGGGAACAGAATTTTTTAATGTTATTTTGTCTTGTTTAACAGGTAATTCAGATATCCGGACGCTTCACATATCCGGACAAATGACTAAGAACCAAAGCGTCCGGATAAATGAGGGTCCATTGTAATTGGTTGGGGGTGACTAACGTATGTTATTGGTTGGGGATGACTAAGGGCTGTAATTGGTAACCTCTTCTGGTTTCTGGCCAGTAGAGCTTAAAAATCATGAATTTCTCCTTAGCAACCCTACTTTAGGGTTGGAGATCTTTAATCCAAAACATGTAAGAACTTTGGCTAAAGTCCCCTTTGCAATCAACTGGAAGCATGACAAATTTTCAAACCACCTAAAATTGATTGTTGTTGATGTTACACAATTTTATTCTTTTACCTGTGACTTCAAATGTTGCTGTTGAACCACTTGTCACTAAGTTTGCTGATATTGCACTTGTTGTTGAAAAAGACAGTGACACATTTGATAATGGAGCACAGAAAGACCCGACAAATATTGCTCTGCCATCTTTTGCCACCAATGTTGCTGAATCAGTTGACAAACAGGCAGAATTATCACTGGCAGCCACATTTATTGTCTGCAACATAGAGAGACACAATTGTCATCTGTTTACTGTAATAAACATATATATCTGAGTAGGGGTGTATGATAAGTGATAGAACAATTGTCGCCAACAATCTACTGTTGGCCGTTAGGAGCTCTTTGATGCTACTAATCAATTTAAAAATAATGTCACCAACATCAATGACATAAAAAAAAATTATCATACTTTAATTTTACTACCAAAACCAAGTGCAAAGAGTTTAAAAGTAATGATTTTTGAAAATAAGTTCCCATTCTGATTCAATACATTGATTTTTTGTAAGTAAAGAAATTTTATTTTCTACTTCATTAAAAGAATTTTGAGCATTTTTGAATTATGTATTAATTAAATGATTTTTTAATAAAAGTCTAACTGAAATCTGAATAAGTTTAACTTATCTATATTTATTTCATTTAAGGTAGTCTTATCCTCAGGTTCATAAAATAAGAAGTTAAGTACTCAAATAAAAAATACTCATAACAAGTATAGATATGGGTTACCCCATATCCAAAGATATTCAACTTTTAGATTTAAGAGTGTTTAATGACTTCTATAAACAAAAGGCCCATGGGCCACATCGCTCACCTGGGAAGCTTTGACCATTCTGTTCTTTACCAGATTTCCCCCTTTAAATACATACTGCGACCTCACCCTACCCCACTGATCATAATTTAGACATTTTGAAATCTACACTACCCCAGGATGCTTCCACAAAAGTTTCAGCTTTCTTGGCCCAGTAGTTCTTGAGAAGATTACAAATGATTTGTTCCGTATATTTCTATGTAAAACTTGGATTTCCCATTGTGGCCCCGCCCTACCCCCGCGGGTCATGATTTGAACAATTTAGAATCTACACTACCCCAGGATGCTTCCACATAAGTTTCAGCTTTTCTGGCCCAGTGGTTCTTGAGAAGAAGATTTTCAAAGATTTTTCCTATATATTTCTATGTAAAACTTAGATTCCTCATTGTGGCCCCGCCCTACCCCCAGGGGTCATGAATTGAACAATTTAGAATCTACACTACCCCAGGATGCTTCCACATAAGTTTCAGCTCTAAGGGCCCAGTGGTTCTTGAGAAGAAGATTTTTCAAAGATTTCTATGTAAAACTTGGATTCCCCATTGTGGCCCCGCCCTACCCCCGGGGGTCATGATTTGAATAATTTAGAATCTACACTACCCCAGGATGCTTCCACATAAGTTTCAGCTTTTCTGGCCCAGTGGTTCTTGAGAAGAAGATTTTCAAAGATTTTTCCTATATATTTCTATGTAAAACTTGGATTCCCCATTGTGGCCCCGCCCAACCCCCGGAGGTCATGATTTGAACAATTTAGAATTTACACTACCCCAGGATGCTTCCACATAAGTTTCAGCTTTTCTGGCCCAGTGGTTCTTGAGAAGAAGATTTTCAAAGATTTTTCCTATATATTTCTATGTAAAACTTGGATTCCCCATTGTGGCCCCGCCCTACCCCCAGGGGTCATGATTTGAACAATTTAGAATCTACACTACCCCAGGATGCTTCCACATAAGTTTCAGCTTTTCTGGCTCAGTGGTTCTTGAGAAGAAGATTTTTTAATGACCCCACCCTATTTTTGTCTTTTCTTGATTATCTCCCCTTGTGAGGGAACTTGGCCCTTCATTTTAACAATTTAAATTCCCTTTCACCCAAGGATGCTTTGTACCAAGTTTGGTCAAAATTGGCCCCGTGGTTCTTGAGAAGAAGTTGAAAATGTGAAAAGTTTAGACGGACAGACAGACGGACGACGGACAAAATGTGATCAGAAAAGCTCACTTGAGCCTTCGGCTCAGGTGAGCTAAAAACAAGAGGCCCACGGGCCTTATAGGTCACCTGAGTATCATGTAACAACTTTCCAGCAATTGTATTTGATTCGTGTTTTAATCCAAAAGCTATGAAATTCACAAATTTTGAAGGAGGCACCATTGCTTATCAAAAGGCAGATTTCATAGCATTAATTTATTTTAGTCAAAGTACCCCTCTGGTACCCCTGACCCAGCGGCCCTGAAATTATCTATTTTGAAAAAGGCCCATTTCTTCATTATAAGGCCAGCAGTTTTTATTAATGTTTAGGTTTAGTTATGAACATGAGAATAAAAAAGTCTCGAAGGAGAAGGAAATAAAAGACAAGAGGCCCATGGGCCACATCGCTCACCTGAGAAGCTTTGACCATTCTGTTCTTTACCAGATTTCCCCCTTATTATACATAATGCATCCCCACCCTACCCCACTGATCATAAGTTAGACATTTTGAAATCTACACTACCCCATGATCCTTCAATGGGCACATATGTTTCAGCTTTTTTGGCACAGTGGTTCCTGAGAAGCCCTTCCCCTAGGGGTCATGATTCCTACAATTTAGAATTTACACTACCCCAGAATGCTTCCACATAAGCTTCACTTTTTCTGGCCCAGTGATTCTTGAGAAGATGATTTTCAAAGATTTTTCCTATATATTTCTATATAAAACTTTGATTCCCCATTTTGGCCCCGCCCTTCCCCCGGGGGTCATTATTTGAACAATTTAGAATCTACATTATACCAGGATGCTTCCACATAAGTTTTAGCTTTTCTGAACCAGTGGTTCTTGAGAAGAATATTTTCAAAAATTTTTCCTATATATTTCTATGTAAAACTTTGATACCCAATTGTGGCCCTGCCCTTCCCCCGGGGGTCATGATTTGAACAATTTAAAATCTACACTATACCAGGGTGCTTCCACATAACTTTCAGCTTTTCTTGAGAAGATTTTCAAAGATTTTTCCTATATATTTCTATATAAAACTTTGATTCCCCATTTTGGCCCCGCCCTTCCCCCGAGGGTCATTATTTAAACAATTTAGAATCTACATTATACCAGGATGCTTCCACATAAGTTTTAGCTTTTCTGTCCCAGTGGTTCTTGAGAAGAAGATTTTCAAAAATTTTTCCTATATATTTCTATGTAAAACTTTGATACCCAATTGTGGCCCTGCCCTTCCCCTGGGGGTCATGATTTGAACAATTTAAAATCTACACTATACCAGGGTGCTTCCACATAACTTTCAGCGTTTCTGGCTCAGTGGTTCTTGAGAAGAAGATTTTCAAAGTTTTTTCCTATATATTTCTATATAAAACTTTGATTCCCCATTGTGGCCCCGCCCTTCCCTCGGGGGTCATTATTTGAACAATTTAGAATCTACATTATACCAGGATGCTTCCACATAAGTTTTAGCTTTTCTGACCCAGTGGTTCTTGAGAAGAAGATTTTCAAAGATTTTTCCTATATATTTCTATGTAAAACTTTGATTCCCCATTGTGGCCCCGCCTTTCCCCCGGGGGTCATGATGTGAACAATTTAGATTCTACATTATACCAGGATGCTTCCACATAAGTTTCAGCTTTTCTGGCCCAGTGGTTCTTGAGAAGAAGATTTTCAAAGACTTTTCCTATATATTTCTATATAAAACTTTGGTTCCCCATTGTGGCCCCGCCCTTCCCCCGGGGGTCATTATTTGAACAATTTAGAATCTACATTATACCAGGATGCTTCCACAAAAGTTTCAGCTTTACTGGCTCAGTGGTTCTTGAGAAGAAGATTTTTTAATGACCCAACCCTATTTTTTGTCTTTTCTTGATTATCTCCCCTTGCGAGGGGATATGTCCCTTCATTTTAACAATTTAAATTCCCCTTCACCCAAGGATGCTTTGTACCAAGTTTGGTCAAAATTGGCCCAGTGGTTCTTGAGAAGAAGTCGAAAATGTGAAAAGTTTACAGACGGACAGACAGACGGACAGCTAGACAGACGGACGGACGAACGACGGACAAAATGTGATCAGAAAAGCTCACTTGAGCCTTCGGCTCAGGTGAGCTAAAAAAATTTTGATAAATCAGTTATTAACATTTGTACATTCTTTTTTTATGCTATTCTAATAGGCTCCTTACCACTGGACACATAATGCTTACAAATAGGAAAGTAGAACATTTAATTGCTTATTTCATCATCTGCCAGTTTGGGCCAGTTATATAAATTTTGTGATGTTGGTCAAAATATATTTTAAACAAGAGGCCCACGGGCCTTATAGGTCACCTGAGCATCATGTAACAACTTTCCAGTGATTGTATTTGGTTCGTGTTTTAATCCAAAAGCCATGAAATTCACAAATTTTGAAAGAGGCACCATTGCTTATCAAAGGGCAGATTTCAAAGCATTTATTTTTAGTCAAAGTACCCCCCTAGTACCCCTGACCCAGCAGTCCTGAAATTATCTATTTTGAAAGAGGCCCTTTTCTTCATTATAAGGCGAGCATTTTTTTTTATGTCTAGGTTTAGTTATGAACATGAGAATAAAAAAGTCCCGAAGGAGAAGGAAATAAAAAAAATTTGATAAATCAATTATTAACATTTGTACATTCTTTTTTTATGCTATCCTAACAGGCTCCTTACCACTGGACACATAATGCTTACAAATAGGAAAGTAGAACATTTAATTGCTTATTTCATCATCTGCCAGTTTCGGCCAGTAATATAAAAAGTCTTTCAATAGTGTAGACATTGTTCTAAAATTTACTTGATGCCTAAGATTATAATTCCTATCATAAAACAGACAGGGAGTATTGGGGAGTAGGGTAAACATTTTTTCAATTAAGTGTGAAATAATTTTTCTGGCTGATACAAATGATACTACATGCCTGTATATATTTGTATATTCTACTTGCCTTTTAATAGTTGAATTTATTTTATTTCTACAAGTTATTGTTTATTTCTTCCTCAAATGGACTTAACTTCTCCCAAAGTTTTATTCATTACATCTGATGCATAAGCAAGAATGATGCTTAGACTGTAAGCTATAACAGAGACCTAAACAATGTCGCTGGCAATATGCAATAGCTACATGTACCACGAGCAGTTTAAAACCTGGGGGGGGGGGGGGGGGGGGGGGGGGGGGGGAAATTTACAGATACTTTTGAAACGAATACATAATTATCTCACCAGC